TGACAGACAGACACACACACACCATGACAGACAGACACACACACACCATGACAGAGACACACACACACACCATGACAGACACACACACCATGACAGACACACACTATGACAGACACACACACACACACACACCATGATAGACAGACACACACCATGACAGACAGACACACACACACCATGACAGACAGACAGACACACACATACATACACTGACAGCATTACACATATTACCTGTGGGTTACAGGCCAGGGGGTCATGCAGGGCAGAGAGCTGGGTGTGATGACGGCCTCAGAAGGAGCTGGGAAGGCGGCCGCAGAAGGAGCTGGGAAGGCGGCCGCATGGGAAGCTGTGCTGTCTCTGCTCCCTCGCGCGCTACTAAATGAGATCGGGGCCGGAATATGATGTCATATTCTGGCCCCGGTCTCATTCAGTAGCGTGCTGGGGAGCAGAGACAGCACAGCACAGCTTTCCATGCGGCCGCCAGAACAGCTCCTTCTGCGGCCGCCAGCACACCCAGATGTCTGCCTGGCCCCAGGTGCCGACGGCCCACCGGGAAATTTCCCGGTATCCCGGTGGGCCAGTCCCGCCCTGCACAGGGGTGGGGGCAATAGTTTTTTTTTTGTTTTTACAGTGAGCAGCCATTGGCTGCTCACTGTTTACTAGACACATGGTATAGCGAGCAGGGGCTGAATTTACTAATACTAAGTAATTTTTACTTAGTATAAGTAAATGTGGCTGAAATTTAGGTGACCAATTTAGGTATTTCAGCCTTTTGGTAGATAGCTCCCTGATACCGTGGGAATTAGGGAGTTATCTACTAAGCAGCTGCTGATTTTATGTTATTTCTAAGTGATTTCCCTATCCACATTTGTTTGCAGGGCACTTATTCTACTCTTACCCCCCCCATTTTACTTCCTTTTGCAGCCCTCTAGCCCTTTCCAGGAGTTTTTTAGAGCCATTTTTGTGCCTAAAAGTTCGGGTCCCCATTGACTTCAATGGGGTTTGGGTTCGGGGTCAAGTTCGAGCTCGAACCCGGACTTTTTTTCAAAGTTCGGCCGAATCTGCCGGACCCGAACATCCAGGTATCCGCTTAACTCTAGTAGTAATGTGTGTGTGTGTGTGTGTGCAGTGCGTGTGTACCTGTCATCTATGAGTTCGCCATACTTACCCATAATCCACTCCCCTCCCCCTTCTGTAGATTGTTGTGTAGGTGCCTACTCTGTCTAATGGGGATTCAGTGATTGACTGAAAACCTTGCAGATGTGAAAATTATTTCCAAGGCAGTTTATTTATTCGGCTTAAAATTCACTCTGAAAGTGCACAAATCCTGTTAAATCTTTTTTGGTTGTTTTTCCTTACCTTTATTAGTGAATTTGGTAGATTGACTGAAGTCATAGATTCACAATGTTTTCGTAGAAGAGTATTGATTCAGAAACATGAGCTAGAGCAGGATGCTATTGATTTAATGTTGTTGTTTAATAGAATGGGGGTTTTCAGATAAATTGGGAACCAACAAGTCCACGGTCATCAGTTTCACTAATGTGACTTTTAGTGGTCCAAACGATGGTATCAAGTAGTGGATCAGGAGAAAATGGAAATTCATTGTGTGAATAAAACACTTAAAATCTGTACTGTTATGATTCTATCTATATTCAGCATTCTGTTACAATGTTAGACAGTGGCTATATACGGAAGTAAGAATCTCGCTGACAGCTCTTGATGTCTTTGGTGCCTGTTATAACTCAGAGCTATTGCCCTTACATGATAATTGGTGCATCGTGATGTCATACAGCCTTGCACTGCATGTGAGGATCGTCTTTGGAACTCTGTGTAGTCTATTCATTAAAGAGTGAATTGATCTGGTTTTGCAACCGGCCTCAAAATGCCAGGTAAAATATGTTATGTTATGGAAATTAATCTGGCTATTCACTAAAAACTACTCATTTGCAAGGTTACCTATTGCAAGCATGCACACTGGTACAATGAATTTAGAACCATGAATTTGCTTGGCTCAATTAACTATGTGAATGATGAATAGAAGGTAAACTTGTAACTGGCCCTTAACTTAAGGGATCTTGGATAAACAACGGCAATATTGAAAGGAAGGGCACTGAGATAACCATGTCTCCTTCACTAGTAGCATTATCAAAAGCCTTCAGTAGACAAAGCTTGCTTAATATAAGCATATTTTATTATAGAGCAAGGTTTGTAAAGACACCTGTCTCATGTACAGCTGTGACACTGCTGCTGATGCAGCCCACACGCTAAGAGGGCCCATTGGCTGGCCAATGCACAGTGGGCCACCTTATAGACATGTGTCATCAGGGTCCTGGTCGTCAGCTGGGGTGCTTTCACAGCGCGACCGGGCCCCTTCATATCTACAGGGAGTGCTGGCAGAAAGTGAGAGCCTGCGAACCGCAGCTCTACTTCCCCAAAGCCTCATCCAGCAGAAGCCACCCCCAGCACCCAAAAGGTAGGAAACAGAAGGGTGGCTATTTTTTTGTAAATGACCAGCATGTGTATCTGTGTACCTGTCTGTTTGTCTGTGCAACAATCGGTGTTTGTATTTGTGTAGCTGTGTCAGTGTGTTTTTGTGAGTCTGTGCATCTGCATGTGTGTGTTAGTGTGTGTATGTGTGTCAGTGCATTTATATACGTGCATACATCTCAGCAAACTCAACACTACACACAAATAAACCCCTGCATTCAAACATCAACACTACATACAAACAGGCTTCTGTATTAAAATACCAACATAATATATAAACACACCCTTGCATTAAAAAAATCAATACTACATACACTCACATACTCCATACAAAACTGTGCTTACATTCAAACACACAAACACTGCTCAGTTGCAAGTAGAACCCTGCGAGGATAGGCAAATGGTAAATCCCAGCTAGCAAAGCATTGTGGCAGTTGAACGACAGATAGTTATCTAACTTTTGGCCACCTTTGCTATAGGTAGAGGCCCAAAACAAATTATTGCTAGTTCTGCCATTGCTCACACATGTGCTGGCATGTGGGATTGATGTTATTTTGGTTTTAACTTTGGCCAGTGGGATTTGGCATCCAGCTACTATACGAAGGACATACCCAGGCACTGTATATAGGCAGAGTATGGACACTTATGGTTGGTGGGTTGGTCCACTGACAAGGGGACTGTACATTTTAGGCCAAAATACTGTATACCTGAAATATATAAAGTTTTCAATTTTTAAAGGGAATTTTTAAAAGGGAATTTTTCCGTAGTTTAATGAATAAATCCTACTTTCTTATAATTTTACAGACATCGTGTGTAAATGCAAGACGCTTAGGGGGTGTGGCTAGCTGAGCTACTGACCGGACGCACACTTGAAGAGCTACCGCTCCAGAGACCCAAAATCTGACTTTAAATACCGCAACGGAGCTCAAAATATACCGTCTAGACACCAGGAACACACCTCCAAGAGAGATGGGCAGAAAGCACCGAAAAACGACCCAAGCAGAGGATCAGAAACACAGCGGGTACAACCATGCGGCTCGAGTGACTCCGAGCTCTCGTTGGAAGATGAGATAACTCAAGCACCCCGGAACAACAGCAGAGTGTACCAGAGAGCAGAATCAGACTCCGATAAGTCCCCATCCACCAAGGGAGACATAAAAAACCTGCTGCAGGACCTGAGAGAGGTATGGAAGGTGGACCTCGCTGGGGTCCAGGAGGAAATAGGAGGCCTGAACCGCCGCATGGGAGCAATCGAGACCCGAGAAGGGGACAGGGGGAAAAAGATTGATGACACCGACTCCCGGGTCACTGCCCTCACGGATCAAGTGCAACAGCTTACATGCACGGTGACCTCCCTAGAAATGCGCCACAGACGGAAAAATCTCAGAATCCGCGGGGCCCCAGAGACAATAGGGCAAGAAGCCCTGCTCGAGTTTGCCAATGAGGTCCCGCAAACACTGGGAATACAGACAGAAGACGAACGACCACCACTAGTGTCAGCCTTCAGGGTCAGGAAGGCCCCCACAACGCCCGCGGACGCACCCCGCGATATCATAGCTGTCTCAAGAGACATATCAGTGAAAACCGCTGTCATGGCGCGATCTAGACAAAAGCCAAACCTGGTGATTGCAAACAATAGGATTTTGATTTACGATGACTTACCCTTTACAGTCCTCCTCAAACGGCGCAAGTTCATGTCCCTCACCAGGACTCTGCGTGATCACGGCATTAAATACCGATGGGGGCTGTCCGGAACACTGGTGGTACCGCAGGGAGATGCGATACACACCCTGTCGGCCGCTGAAGACCACACGGAGTTCTTAAAAAGTCTCAATATTCCAACGGCAGCTCACAACAGGAGACCAGAAGCAGTGACCCCTTATGCGAAGCAGAAACGAGGAAACGGATCCACAGGAGACACGCACCCACTGGGGCGAGAAGACCCCTCATAAAGAGACTCTCTTGTCCACACAACCTGCGTTATCACCGAGGCTCCAGCGTTTTGCAGGGCCACAGTAGGCGGTGAAAGACTAACAGCAGGACCCATAGAGGACTAACAGAGACGGCACAAACTTGTCAGCTAACCCAATCCAGGGGCGGACTGAGAGCCTTTGGGGCCCCCGGGCAAAATTAGATCCCAGGCCCTCTGAAGGCCAAATATATGTGCATTAAATAAATGTTAAATATAATTCATAATACGGCATTCCTTTGGATGTGTGTATTGTGAAGACCTGTGTATCAATGCATGTTTGTATTTGAGTCTGTGTGAATGCACTTGTGCATGTCTGGATGACTAAATGTGCTTTTTTGTATATAGGGTCAGTGTGAATGCATATGACAAGTGACAGAGTGTGTGAGGGAGAAGGTGACAGGTGGAAGAGTGTGGGAGGTTGTGACAGGTGGCAGAGTGAGGGAGGGGTTGAGTGGTGGCAGAGTGAGGGGGAGACAGTGAGTGGGTGTGACTGGTGACAGAGTGAGGGAGTGGGTGACTAGTGACAGAGGGAGGGAGATAGGGGTGACTAGTGACAGAGTGAGGGAATGGGTGACTAGTGGCAGAGTGAGGGAGGGAAGAGATGACTAGTGGCAAAGTGAGGGAGGGAAGAGGTGACTAGTGACAGAGTGAGGGGATGACTGTGACAGAGTGAGGGGGGGGTGACTGTCACTAGTCACCCCATCCCTCTCTCTGTCACTAGTCACTCCCTCCCTAACTCTGTCACTGTGTCACCCGCTCCCTCACTCTGTCACTGTGTCACCCGCTCCCTCTCTCTGTCACTAGTCACCCCATCCCTCTCTCTGTCACTAGTCACCCCATCCCTCTCTCTGTCACTGTGAAGGAAGGAAGGGCTGGCTGGTGACAGAGTGAGGGAAGGGATGACTAGTGGCAGAGTGAGGGAAGGAAGGGATGACTGGTGACAGAGTGAGAGAGGGGGTGACTAGTGACAGAGTGAAAGAGGGGGTGACTGTCACTAGTCACCACATCCCTCACTCTGTCACTAGTCACCCCCTCTCTCACTCTCTCACTAGTCACCCCCTTCCCTCTCTCTGTCACTCCCTCACTCTGTCACTAAGGACAGAGGGGGTGTTTAGTGACAGAGTTAGGAGGGAGTGACTAGTGGTGACAGAGTGAGGGGGGGTGACAGTGAGGATGGGTGACTAGTGACAGTGGGGGGACTAGTGACAGTGAGGGGGGGTGACAGTGAGGGTGGGTGACTGGTGACAGTGAGGGGTGGGTGACTAGTGACAGTGAGGGGGGTGATTGGTGCCTACCTGTCTCTCTGCTTCCTCTCCCAGGCTGCAGCTCCTTCCCCTGCTGGGCTCTGTGTGAAAGGAGTAAACAGGAAGTGAGGTCACTTCCTGGCCCCGCCTCTCCCATCACACAGAGCCGCATGGGAGAGGAAGCCGGAGACCTGGCAGAGAGCAGGTGAAGCTGCCAGGTCTCATGGGGGGGGTGTGTGAATAGCAGAGCGGTAGGTTGTGGGGGCCCCGCGCTGCATCAGGGGCCCCACAACCTATCGATTAAATAGTTTTATTATTTTTTGCCGTTCCAGTTGGAGAGATCTCTGATCTCTCCAGCTGGAGCATGGCTGTGCTGCCGGGCCCCTGACTGCCTCGGGCCCTCGGTCCGTGACCGATATGCCCGAGTGGTCAGTCCGCCCCTGACCCAATCCCTTTATTTTTCTTTCTTTTAGCTCCGTGAAGCTCTAAAACACAAGAGCCTATACCATGCCCTATCAATGGGCCGATATTGACTCCAAAGTTTATTTTAACCCCACGGTAGCCACTGACAGACATTGCCACCATGTCTAAATTAACCATACGAGAAACACTCACACATTCTGCCAATAGGCTCATGTTCAACCCACCAGAGATGTCAACCTAGGCTGTCGAGATGCTTGCCTTACCCCACGTGAGTAGTAGTGGAGCCCTACCACAGTAAGCATTATGTCTACATAACAGTCACTAACGGGCCCCACCTAGGCACATACCCTAACGGTACACAGGCTGCCCTACCAATGGGGACTACCCCATAAGCCAACACGCTGATGTCAACACGCTGATCCGGGCGGTTAAGTTTAAGCCCCTACGAGCGGATAGTGGGTTATCCTAGACTAAAGATTTATGCCCGGATGAGCGGCCGAAACGTGCTACCAAGGTCTTAATATCCGACTCACACGGGCCGTTAGAGGGCTTTAGCACAGGGCACACTTTAAGGCCATGACAGCAGCCAGAGTGAGATACCGACTCGGGAGCTACCTATACACTCTTCTCACATATCCCACCTGACCTGCTGGGATGCCCAACCCAGAATGATGTATGTATGCTGTAAATGCACGCTATGTTTAAATAGTTTAATTCTAAAGCAGATAGCGGGTCATCCCACATTATAGACACATGCCCACACGAGCGGACAACACATTTTCCTAACATTTCCACGCTTTAATTTCAACCCACAAGGGCTGTTAGAGGGCTACATTTCAGGTCCACTGCAGCGGCTAGAATGATATACCAACTCGGGAGCTACCTACACAATCTTCTTACACATGTCACCTTCACCTGAGCTGATAGGACGTTTAACCGAGAAAGATGCATGTATGATATAAATGCACGTTCTGTTTAAATTGTTTAACTCTTATCCATCAGATATCTGTATATTGTCATTAAAATCAGTGGAAATTTCCACACACAAAAAAAAAAATGCAAGACGCTTAAAATTGACAATTTGGTAAAGTACTACGGAATAAGTTGGCGATATATATAAATGCCAAATATAAAATGTTGTATGCCTTTTGATTCAAAGATCTACAGACTCTAGAAATAACTTGCTAAACAACATGGTATTTTGTAGACTTCAAAGACTTCTCTACAGTGCACCTTTCATAGTTTAAAACGTGTATTCAGTTACAATATTTATAACAACTAAAGAATAATGTGTGTTCAGTTTTTAAAACTCATGTCCCCATGTATAATACAGTGAGGGTTATACACTAAACATTGCATTTTAGTGAATCAAATCGGGATCTCAAAATTCAGACTAAACTAGCTGATCTTGCAAAATGATCTAACTAATCTCTTATCCCAGACTGGCTATTTTATCTTTTATAGTCTGACTTAATCTACTAAAATGCCAAGATTAGTGAATAACCCAGTGAGATCTTTTTGTTAAGTTTCTGCTAGTTCCCTATTACACAATGCTATTTTCTGTAGCTCAATTACTCTGGTTTGCCGATGACGTCCAGATTTTATTTTTAATTTGTGTGACATTTAATCAGCACGTATTGAGACCCAGGGCTTAGTTGTTCATTACATCTCATTGTAGTTTATGAAGACAGCTTAATACCTAACAAGCCACCCAGCTGATGCACACTTCATCATTGGGAAAAACCGATGTGCATCCTCGAACAGTAAGGCTTATTTACACAGGGCACAGTTGGGTGGATAAAAGCTTTACTTGCTGAATTAATACACCGATCATTTTATTGCATGTCACTGATTTAGGCCACTGCCAGACACTTAATAAAGTTACAGCAAGTACATAAACAATTGTGCAAAATATATTAACTAAAAGAATACTTTTAAAAGGACAAGTCTGTCTCACACACAAGTGTAAAATGTTTAATTTGAAGATTTCTCACTTTATGACATAGGAATACCATTCCCTTACTGTGTTTGCTTAGTGAACAGTGTTTGCATACTTCCTGCTGCCTAGAGGTTGGCATTTAAAATTGTATTATATTAACTCTTTGGTGACTGACTATTTTCCAACATTCCGTCCTTTTGTGCCTGAGGTCTTTTTTTTAATTTTTGCTATGTGTTCATTCTATTGGAATTATCTGTTTTCTTATTAGGTGTTCCTATACATCTTATCTATAATATATTTTACCAGGAAGGATAAATAGAGATTTCTTTAGTTTTAAAGAACAGTTAGGAGAGAACGCTTAATGGCAACATTACTTAGGGGCAAAAAAATATATTACAAAAATAATATTTTTTTACAGTTTTGCATCCAATTGCTTCTACGCAATTAGAACAAATTAAAAAAGAACAACTTCAAAACAGATTCATTATTAAGGCCATCAGTGAAAATACCTACTATGTCTATTATGTTTATTAATTTTTGGAAGCTGTAGGACAAATATGGCAAGCAGTGAATTGTGGTTTTAAAACTAAACCTAAGCAAATTAGGCTTACTGACACTTTAACTTTAATTGTGGTCACAGAATCCTAACTTGCTATACAACAGTATGTAGAAAGTAGACCGATTAGGGTCAGTATTTTGACCGTTTTTATTTAACGATTTTTATCACCTACCCATCCAAATCTGCTATAGCATATTTAATTTTCTTTTGTGATTTTCCCAAACAGAAGCCATTTTTTTATTGTTAATGTCACAGACCATATATTCTGCTATTGCACTTAGTACAGCAATAGCACATATGTACACCTTGACATGGTTTGGGAGCAATTTGTAGGGTCACATTAGAGACATGCCTCTTTACTTGCTTTACGAACCCTAATTATGTAGTTTAGTAGATTGACTACCTTGTCGATAGATCACTCTTGGAGCCTAGCACAATAAGGAAATGCTTAGTCATTAAATTAGGCAGTAAATGCAGGTCATTCCTGTGATTGGCTCCCGACGTGATTGGCCAGCCAATCAGAGGCTACTGCTGGACAATCTCATTATGAGATAGTCTAGCAGTAGCCAATTGACAGCTGATCCCAGAATACAGTGTAGTAGCAAGGGATCACCTGACCTTGCACTGCCACGATTGTTAGGGTAATTAATGCATTCTGGTGTATTTATTCTTCCCAGCGGTTGCTAGAGGTGTATAAATTCCAAGGTGCACAATCCTCATTTTTTATAGTGCTTCCCAACTTTCAAGTTGTTGGTGTACTGTAACAACAATTACAGATCACATTTTTTAAAAAAATGCACCAGATAAATTAGCTAATAGTGTGAATTTAAAATTACGCCAGAAAACACAGGCTCTTGTATTAAGGATAAACAGGCTTATTAAACATATATAATCAGTTTTTATGGTTTTTATCTTGGGACAGATAATAAGTAACCACAAATGATGCATAAACGTGGAATACCACTTGCATGAGCCTATGCAGTTGATATAACTGCTGTTAGAGTGGTTTATTATTGGGTTATTTGATGGTCTTTATGGCTATTTAAGGATCTCAGGTGAAATGTCCAGACAGCTGTCACTTTATATTATATATTGATTTGATAATCATACAATAATGGTTGCATTTAATGTAAAAGCTGATATCCATTCTTGCGATACTTCCAGCTGATTACTGTTGATATGATGAGGATCTCGTTGTGTTGTTTTATGTGGCCACTTGCTGAAAAATCGATTTTAATGTTAAAATCAAGTGGTTCTACGTATTCGTGTTTATTACCATTGTATGATTTTGTCTGACTATCTAGTGATCCATATATATGACCTTATTCTCTTTTGTTTTAGGAAATTATTCACTAAACATTTTAAAAATGTTGTTGAAGTAAGTAGAACATAACAATTAGCATTCATGGTATATTAACATTTTTATAAGATTATCAAGCTGGTATTACTGCATTAGTAATAATAGCACATTAAAAAGAAATAGTATAAAATACAATATAAAATCCTCACTCTTCTCCCAAATTCTGCTTCTATTGTAAACAAAACTATATAGATTAAAAGACATACCGTGAGCACCCAACACAGGTAATTTGAATGCAAATAAATCTTTATAACCTATTATTGCAAAATATTAAAGGGGCACTAGTCACCAGAACAACTACAGCTTATTGAATTTGTTCTGTTGAGTAGAATCATTACCTTCAGGCTTTTTGATGTAAACACTGTCTTTTCAGAGAAAATGCAGTGTTTACATTACAGCCTAGTGATAACTTCACTAGCCACTCCTCAGATGGCTGTTAGAGATCCTTCCTGGGTCATGGCTGCCTAAAATGCATCCAAACATTCGGTGTCTCCTCCCTCTGCATGCAAACACTGACATTTCCTCATAGAGATTCATTGATTCAATTAATCTCTATGAGGAGATGCTGATTGGCAAGGGCTGTGTTTGAATTGTGCTGGCTCTGCCCCTGATCTGCCTCCTTGTCAGTCTCAGCCAATCCTATGGGGAAGCATTGTGATTGGATCAGGCCACCACTTCTGATGATGTCAGAGGAAGTTCACAGGCAGAGGCAACAGCTTCATACTTTAATACAAGTAAGATTTTACTATCTTTAGGGAGGCAAAGGGGGCTATCTAGTTTTTACACTATAGGGTCAGGAATACATGTTTGTGTTCCTGATCCTACAGTGCTCCTTTAATATAACTACCATGTAAACAAGTTAAACAGCTGCTTAATATCCTCTTTAGTCCATGGGTCCCCATCAGAGAATGGAATTAGAGAGCTTCGAAAGAGTAGTATTATTGTATTGATACAACTTTAAAACAAACATGTGTGCTTTGTTGGCTAGTTTATGTCTTTAAATACCACCTTAAACCTATCATTACACCTCTATATATAAATATTTATAAAATGTTCTGCTTTAATTAATAATCTTAGTTTCTTTTAGGTAATTAAAGCACCTTTAAGTTCCACTGGATAGGTTATTTACTAAAATACAAATTGCAAATTTTAGGGGGGGAAAAAATCGCCAATTTGTAAAAGTTCTTTTACTCGGCTAAAGTCTTAGCATAGCTATTTTAGCCTCAATTTAGCCATTTGGATTTTTAGTTTCTAGTGAATAACTTTGTAAGAGAACAGAGTCAAAACTAGCATTTTTATTGGAGATCTCACAGTTTGCAGTGATTGTATCCAAGTTATTTAGTTTGTGAAATCAATTAGAACTTAGGTAACGCTGGAAGCCGGAGTTTTACAATTTGGCAATCTGCAGACTAGAACAATGGAAAAACAGATGCTCAAATGCTGTAAAACTACAGTTTGAAGATACTCTATACATTTCAACCAGCTCTATTCTAGGAAATCTCTGCAGTTAAACCACACATTTTATATACCAAACAGATCCTATAAAATTAAAATCTTCAAGATGTGATTTTAAATCCCTTTTAACAAAGTAGATGTCACCGGCATGTCAAATTGTGTTGTATTCCCCCAAAAGTAACAGCATTCATTGTGTTGATTTACTTCACCGAATTGTGAAAGATTCTGTTAGATTTTTGCGCTTGGAAAAAAAAAAGTGTAAACTTAAGAACAGATTTTCTTTTATTTATTCCATAAACAATATACCAAAACTCAGCATGTTAACAATGTGACATTTTTCACCATACAGGATCAATCACAAATATTGAAAAACTTTTCAACAAGAACAACAAAACCTCAAATCTTACAAGAATAATTTACAAGAGAATCTATAAAACAGCAAAGAGCTCACAAAATTCTCAATGAATCTTTACACGAAATCACTACACTCTTTCACAATATTTGTTTTATTACAAAATTTCCGACAAAATGTACTTTTTTTTTCTTTGTATTTTGGTTTTTAAAACCAGAAACCTTTAAGTATATATCCTTTTAAGAACACCCCAGGGTGCCAAAAAAAGGAATACCCACACATACGGACACTTCACAGCACTTCTCTAAGAAAAATATACACTTACAAAATATATTACAAATTGGCACACTTAAAAATATACAAGTTTTTGTAGGCGTTATTAGAGTGATCCCTTAAAGAATTATACTTCGATTGATTCTACAGATATTTATAAAGCTTATTCTAAAAGAAATAAAGGCAAAATCAATAGCATTGCAGAAGTTAATGTTCTTACATTCATATAAGGGGACTGTTAAGATTTAATGTAATACTTGGAGAGGAAACTGCAAACCAGAATGATTCGTAGCACCTTGAATTCCTTTTTGTGCTAGGAGGTTGTCAACAGTGATGCAATGGACACCTCTCCAGCAACTCTCAGGTCAAACCAAGAAAACGAAAAGGTTCATGCAATAATAAAGAAATTAAAAAGCAATACATTCAAATCTCTGTAGGCAAAAGTAGCAGAATCTAGAAGGCCAGCAGTACACATACTGTACATCACTTTAGAGTTTACGTGTTTATTATGGAATCTTCTGATATAGGAGTATTCTTTGCAGAGGGAAGGGACAAATGCATTCCTTCAAAATATATAATGAGCAGGGAGCGAGTTTTAATCAAGTAGAAAACAGGACATGTTATTGTAAAGGGGAAGCAAAGGATTCTGGGATCTGTATACCATCCATATTTACTTGCAGTGCTAAAACAGGTGATTGTTTGCTAGGCAGACAAGATATTTATCTGACTGTTATATGTAGTGCACATAGAACAGGACAGATATTAAAATCAGACAAATTATATGACTTGTATCTATTCAATATTCAATATAATTTGGGGGTGAAAAAAAATACAGACAAGTGCACTATAAAAATAACAGTTATGGACATTTTAAGAAAATTCAACATTGTGCATAAGTTACACACAGTTTTGTCTCATGATTGGTTCTTTCTGTTTAAAACAAAAATGCAGATGGGGCCAAGTCGGGAGTCCTTTATTATCAAATCAAAAGATGGAGATTGTAAGTCGATATCTTATCTCATTCTGGTGCCTGAGGGTTTCTCTTTAGGGTAAGTGCGAAAAGACTGCTCACTAACCAAGATATCGGAGCTAAGCACGGAGTAATGTGCTTGTCTCTATAGCATATGCCTCCATCTGCCTAGCTGTGGATAGGGCCGGATGAGAAAACTGTGTGTAACCTACAATGAACACAGTGTTCTTAAAACTGGCTGCTTAAACATCACTTTGGCTTCTATAAAGGACCCCAGTAATTTTTAAGGTTTACTGGTTCTTTAATAATGTGTCGAACACCCCTCAGTTATGACAAGGCTAATACAAAATGGTGGGTCTGTTTAGGAAAAATTGTAAAACGAGCAAGTAGAAAATTCATCATAGACGCAAAAATCCAATGAATGTGCATTTATTGGGAAACTTTATGTCTCCATCTAAGTATAATATAATCTAGTAACTTTATATGTAAATATAAAAGGCTAGTGATTTATTTCTATATTTAATATGGTTATTTTTGCTTTAAATAAACAGGTTTGATTTTCAAGGTTTTCTATGGCACAATTAGGGAAATGTTTGTATAACCCCTACTGTAAAAGGGTGCATCAAGTTTTCAATTGTACATTTGTTTTATAGTGCTACAGTTTATTTTTGGCATCAGTCAAACCACTGGGTTTGTTTTCGAAAAATCCTTACCCACTTTAAAAAAGGCAAAAAAACAAACAAAACAAAACAAAAAAAACACTCAAAAAAATCTGTGGAAATGTCCCAAACCTGAGAATGTCTTGCAGCTCAAAAGTAGAACAAACATAACACACAAAATACCAATAGTGATTATGAATTTTATAATAACCAGCTGATCATTTGTGAACATCAATATTCCTCCAGATTATAATCGGTTAATTTCTTCGTAATATGAGGCTATGGAAACTGGCAATGGAAAACCGCTGTAAACAAAGGGTTATAAATGCATGGAGTTGTCAGAAAAGACAGATTTGGCACAGAGTAGAACATTTAAGAAATTAAAATCCAAAAAATACCAAAAAACAATAAACCGAACCATAAATGAATCAAGAATGTTAAAGAAAGGTAATAGATAATAGACCAGATTACTTTTATGGAAAACAGTTCCGTATAGTAAATAGAATTTCAAATTGGGATAATATTAAAAATACTTTTGCTGCTGCGCGGGGTTGCAACAGATCACTCAATCAATGAATGGACAATGCACACTCTATGACACCTTGAAGACTAGTGATGTCTAATTTTTGTTGTCCTCGCAATTGTCATGATGCGTCGGCCAATCAAGTGGCTGGATAAGCATTACCGTGACTATAATCAGCTAGAGCAGCGGTAGGCAACTTTCAGCACTCCAGATGTTATGGACTACATCTACCATAATGCTCTTACAGCCAGAATGCTGGCAAAGCATCAGAGGAGATGTAGTCCACAAGATCAAGATCACTGGAGGTTGCTTTGAGACCAAACCTTAACCATTGTTTACTGTCCAAACTGTCTGAAACCTTATGATTAAACATATGCATGAGCAATGTAATCTTTTATACAAAGAGTATGGCAACTATACCTGGCCCGTTGTATTACCAAGAACAAAACAGAATATTGATCATATCATTACACAGGTAACTTTCCCTACTTTTGAAAAGTTTAGCAACTTGAGTTTCTATAAATTAGATGAAAATTTGCCAATGCTTTTCAGTGTACTGAAAATATAAATTAAGCATTATAATCCTTTAAAATGTGTTATACCTCTTGCTTGGTTTATATATATATAAACTCTCCTAATATGCACATATCTATATATAATACATTCTACAAAATATATTTCCTCAAGGCAGCAGCCATTTTGTTTATCAAGCAGGTTACACTAGACTTAGCTAGAGAACTTTTGTTCAATTATTCATATATAATAATTACGTGAAATCAGTGCATTAACAGGGATGCAGCAATATTCTTCCATGCTATTTATGATTTTACAAGTAATAATGATAACAAGACAATAGCTTCCACCATAAAGATCTGCTAAATAAAATGGCTGCTCCATGTAGCCTTATTTTGGTAATGTATTATTATTTAGCATGTAGCAATAACAATGGTTCTATAAAAGACTACACATTATTGAAGGCAATTAAGCCTTTTTTTGTTTTGAAATTTTACTTTAAGATTCTCTGAGAATAGCGAGGGTATGTCTTTTTTTTTAGAGTTCAGTTCTATCCATGGCTCATAATCCTGTATTGTTTTGTATGAATAAAATATATAATACCTGAGAAATAGATCTGAACGTCCCGTGTCTAGTCAGATAGTGTAGTTGCTTCACTAAAACATTTTTACATTATATGCTGTTTTAACAAATTAATGAAGTTACGGACATCAATGAATGCTCCACAGTAAATGCAGTAAATGGAGAAATCTTTCAAAATGTGCATCCACTCCACTGTGTAAACCTTGCCTATCGGGACCTATCGGTGCATGACAGCATCTTACATATTGTAGTTTATAAATATCTGCAGTCACAAACTTAGAATTCACTGAAATAGAGCATCATGCAAACAATACCAATTCTTTCACATGATGAGAAGGATTGTTTTGGCAGTAACTGCAAAAAAGTATGGCGTTTTCAATGCAGTTTGAAGGGCAGATAAAAATAAGCTCATTTGAGTGTCATAGCTTTCCTGTAGCTTTCTGTTAGAGAATAAAGACTCCTTACACATTAATCTGACCCTCTAGTAAGACTTCAATTTCTGAAAAAGAATAATGAAAACTACTTCTGCAAGTAGATTTGCATTTACCTGGAGAAGAGGTCTACATTCATTTTTTTCAATGGATGAAACATGCCAATAGGGTCTCTTGGCCATGCATTTAGTTCTGTTCATTTCCCCATAACATACTGGCCATCCAGAGTGGATGTGGAGATTTACGACAAGGGAGGAGCATTCAATCGTTAGTTTGCTTTAAATTTGTTTACTAATGTATTATCTCTGTAACGATACATTCACCATATTAAAGTCTTCCGTGCTTAAGCAAAGTTTAGACGGGAGAGACACAGGTTGTTATTGAAATAAAAAAAGTAATTACTTAATTGATATATATTATTATAGAACTTTGATATTCTCCACCTATTTTTGCTGGCACAAGTCCAGTCTAGCATACACATAATCCAAAACTGATGAAAGTTTATATAGTTCTGTCTCTTTGGCCTCTTCTCAGCCATGACTATCTGGTCAGTAGCTGCAGATGTACCTTATATACACAACTAACCTACTGCATGATAAATCACCTACAAAGTTTTTTCATTTTTCAAAAAAACAATGTAATGACTGAGCAATAAGTTGATTTGCTCATCCATTCGCAACTCAATGACTAGATGTCACCTACTCATAAACAAATAGCATAGCTATTTCTTAGGTAGTTAAAGAGCACAATACTTAAAGGAACACTCCGAGCACCCTTACCACTGCAGCATTTTAGAATGGTGTGACTTCTTACCTGTGATCTACCTGGCTCTGCCCTCTTCAGCCTCCAGGTGATCCTGTTAGGAGCTGCTGTTAGCTTTTCTGAGTTAAGCCCTGCAAAACAGAGCCATCTCTTGCTGAACTACAACTCCCATGATTCTTTGACTGAAATAGATTGCCAGAGAATCATGGGAATTGTAGTTCAGCAACATCTGGAGGGTCAGAGTTTGGAGAACCCTGGCTTAGAGCATCAGCAAATTGCTCTCTGCCAATGAGCTCACCATGATACTTAGCTCAGGCAGAGCGCTTCTGGCTCTCCTGGAGGCTGCAGAGAGGCAGAGAGTAGCAGCTTAGAGCACCCTGGTTAAGAAGTACAACTGTTCTAAAACGCTTTCATTACTTACATTGGAGAGGGTGCAGGGCACTCCTTGCACCATAACCAGTACACTGTGCTACAGTGGTTATGGTGTTTGAAGTGTTCCTTTAACTAACACCAATAAAATAAAAACATATTCATTTATTTTGTGATTACACTATACAAATGACACATCTAAGAGATGCAATGCCTGTAGACTGACTGTGTATCAGTGGATATTTAGTTCACAAAACTTTGGTGCCACATTTAACTATTACTGGAGTAATCAATTGAACAGTAAATAAATACATAATACATAAATAATATTTGGGGTACCTTATTATTTCTTTTTTTTTTTTTTTAAATACCAGATATTACCAGTCTCTAGTGAAAGAGCCATATATCACTAACATAAAAAAACAAACCCAAAAAGATGAACTAATATCAATGAAATGGAATATTGTATTTATTACTAACTGGGATACTTAATACACAGATCTCAATAGCGACTCCCGGCGAAACAGGATGCTCATGGGAGGGGTTAGAGGAGGTGGGGCACTGACTTACTGGCAGATCAGCCTGCCAATCATACAGGCCAGCCCACTGAGAGCAGACCATGCAGGGAGCACAGTTTCAGTGCACCCTGCAGGATTCTAGTGCCCTGAGTGAAGAGAGAGAGAGAGAATCTAATGACGCATTGAGATGTTCTGAATTTACTGCTGATGTGCAAGATTTTCTTCACAATGTTGGAAGGTAGGATCTCTGGACAAAGACTAAGGTGGAGGACTAGGCCATAACTAGGGGCAGGTCCGACTAGGGTATAAAAAAATGAGAATACTATCTGAAGTACAGCCCACTCATTTTGAAACACTGATTGTACAGGTTAATCTATTAAATGATATCTCACGGTACTTAAAAAAACAACATAGCTTAATATTTGAAGAAAAAACAAAAATAAACAACCAAAGCTTTTCTCATACATTGCAAAAGTAATGCCTTGGGAATAGGATCCTTTACTTATATTACTGAAGCCTTATATACAAAATTGTGCCTTCATTTAAATTCCCATGAACATGTACATATTGTAAGAATTATATAGATATCTAGATTGTAAACAATAGTTAATAGAGATATCATAGCATTTCACACATTGCACCAACGCCCTGATATAAATATATTGCAGTTAAACAGTAAGTATGTATTTGTATGTACATACAGTATTGTATGTATTTTTATATAGGATATGCTAAAGAGTCAGTAAAGACTGAACATAAAGTGGTTTCTGAAAGAAATGTGGTTATAAAATAGGTTGACCAAATTAGTCCTTAAAGGGAAACTGTCAGTCTTCGGAAATTAAATGAAATTCATCTCTAACTTGTGTTAATTATTTTTTTTTCATGTGATGCTTTGTTTCCTTTTGAATCTAAGAAATAAGCAGGTTAAATCAGAATCGAACAAGAATTGGAAAAATTGTTTTATGTCTCCTCTTCTCTGAATGCATTCTATACCGCCAGATACAAAGGTTAGGTCAGAGCTTATAACAATGGTTGACAGGAGACAAGGTGGAGATCAGTTGCAGAATAAAGAAGTATGGATTTCTACATTAAATTTTATTTTTCACACCTCACAAGTACATATTTATTAATATAGCGGCTAAGTAAACATAGTACTAAAACTCCTGGAAAGAGACAGTTCCTCTTTAAAGAGGGAGTCTTATAAGATAGATACATCCTACAGGATGGCACTGATTAGTAATGCAACACTGTAGTATACATTTTAAAAAAATCTCCTTCACTCTAAACAGTAATCTAGGGTAGGTCTAATACATTAAATAGGTAGTTTTGCTAATAATGGTTAAAACAGAAGCAGTATCACCTCTACTGTCCTCCAAGAACTGTCTGGTTCCAAAGTGGTCACTGGTAGATGTTAGACTTGTGCATTCGTTTTCTCCCTAATTAAGGGTGATTGGCAACTCATTTGAATTTTACAAACTCCGAAACTACATAAAGATAAATCATAAAGCAAACAAAATGGACAATGGACAGGATGTTTAATTTGATTTGTGATTCGGAGTTCGATCTGTGGCACCAAAAATCTAATATTTTATGGAAAAAAATGGTTAGGGGCCAGACATTAAATGTTGATTTTATTCACAGATGAAATGAGAAGTAACCAACATAGGAAAAAAAGTAGACGCAGTAAATAATAAATAAACTATATTTATATATTATTTTATTTTTAATAATTGTATAATGTATTTAGATTTTCTTTACTGCTCATTTTTCTCTCTATCGGTTACTTCTTCTCACACGATCTATATACCAAATGGTGCGAAATGCACATCAGGGTACTGCAAAATACATACATAATATTTATATGTTATAGTATGCTAATTGTCCAATTTTCACACCATTTTGGCTCGTCCGAATCGGTTTTCCCAAAATGATTACATGGCCAAAATGATCCAAACTGAAATGCCACATGGACAAAATCCGAATTGACTTAACTAGTTTATTTTTCAGGACGAACTGAATTTGTTAGCTGTAAACAGATCTGGTAGATGTAAAACTCTGTATTTTGAAGACACAATGCACCTGAATTAACCATGCATCTGATTATTTTCATCATGCTAGGTTCATGGGTTTTGCTAAGATATAGATAGTATTTTCTCATTCAAGTGGAAAGTAAATGGACTTTGTCAGTGGATTTCTTTCAAATGACTTGGAGGATGCAAGCAAATGCATTGTGAATGCACTTGTGGATGCCATTTGCTCAATGGGGGAATTATTGTGCATGCACACTTGTGATGTTTTACAGATGTGTATGCTCAATTGCTTATTATATCTCTTACTTGTGGATCCACTGCCTAAAACAAACATTCACATTAATAGTTCAATAAATAGGTGTTAGCCTGCATCCTGGATTACGCCTTTAACCCCTTAAGGACCAAAGTTCTGGAATAAAAGGGAATCATGACATGTCACGTGTCCTTAAGGGGTTAATGGAAATAAAAATATAGTTGCAACTTTATAACTTTATTTTCTAGAATGCCACAGATATGTTTTTGTTTTCTCATAGGCCTACATGTATGTAAATGTTTTCTGTGATCAAAATACTATATATATATAATATATCTATTGATTCACTGATTCAGTTCTGTTTAAGAAGGGAGTTGGGTTTCCAAAATAAACTATCTTCAGTTTACGTTACTTTTTTGAAAAAAAACTTTGAGATCCAGAATGGCTGCTAATCCACCTAACAATATTAGAATAATCAAGATATAGGTCCAATCAATCCAAATCAGGGCTATGGAAGAAAAATAAAAAAATAGTCAATTTACCTTTACTATATTAATGTTTTTTTTTTCTAGGTGAAACTGCACCCTTAAAAGTAATGGTAAAAATACCATGTTAGCTATAAATTCTTCATTAAATGTACAATGTCTCCAGACACCAAATTTCATATGTGCAGTGATAGTCTGATTATACAGATAGATTCAATCCATAAAATAATTTTGCCGCTAGCCACTATTATTACAAAATTTTTAGTAAACCCTGTGTGTGTAACACTATATATACTACAATGAAGGATCTCCCAGTTTACTCTTTAGAATACAATGAAAATAACATGTTCTGCTAGAAAATTGGTATGTGGCTTCTTCTAGCAGTAAACATTGAACAGCATTCTAAACATAGTTGGGGATTTTTATTTTTGTGGTTCCTTTCTCAAAGATCTCTCTCACGGATAGGGCACTCCTGTCTGTGAAAAGACAACAGACAAGTTGGAAGTGTTATAAGGAATTTAACCAGAAGACTTGGCAATTACTTGCCAAACCTAGAGACCTCCATGTAAAAGTTCTCAGCTATGTTCTTAATATACAAAACAATATAGCAACTACAAACATAAAAAGGTAGCATGATAGCATGAATGACTACAGTGTTTTAAATAAATTAAGTGTCATTTATAAACATATAACTGAGCACATTTCATGATTTCAAATTACTTAATTATTGTGCTTCTTTTAGTAGAACGTGAGACATTCACTCAGCTAAGCAGACACATATAACATATGATATACCTATTATTCATCACTATTCATCTTGATATAAGAGGCGGCCACGCGAATAGGGATTTGAAATGGAAATCATTAAAAATAGATTATTTGAATTGTTGGAAAAGAGACATATTTAATGCATTCTGCAGAATTTATTTGCATTTTATAATCTGCTTTGAATTCAGTTGGACAGGAAACAGAGGCCATGGCGTCTAAATAACCAGCCAGTATGAGAGTTGTGTTGGGTACATATGACATTTATATAAATCTTCAACAAGAATGAATAAGATGTAACTGCTCTCTTCGTGTTAATTCACCAAGAGCCAGGTTTCTGACAACTGCATCTGACAACATAGGTCATAAACACCGCTGGCCGCATTGCCACATTTCTAGAAATCACTGGCTCAGGTCTTTAGGTTATGGCACTCATGCAAAAAATAAATCCTGAATCATTTAAAGCCCCAAAAGTAAGAGCATCTCATTACAAAACAGTGCTTAAACAGTTAACGCATTCAGTTTTGCTTTGCTTTTTTTTTTTTAGCATTTCAGAATTTCTGAAACGTGAAATCTGGAGTAAGCACAACATACTTGGCACACAGTAACTTGGTACACATCTTTTGAGGCACAGATTCTCAGCAATGCATTTCAAAATTTTAAAAATTCCCATCTAAAAGCCTGACACATAGACCCAATATGATGTCACTTTTAACCAAGGCAGGCAGATTGAATAGCTCCAGTTACATAAAGAAAGGGAACAACAGGCAGCAATGCCCCAGGTGAAAGATCACAACAACAGAATAGACACTGTATTTATCCCTGTGGACCAGAATCTTGTTTGCTTTTGTCTACGTTTTTATGGATCGTAAAACATAACACTGCATAATCATCAATTAAGGTTTTATACCCATTAGTGTCAGAAGGCTAATGGTGGAAACAATTAAAAAAAACGAAATTAAAAAACATCTGATTATAAGTGACTACACTGCCCTGTTTATAAAGGATACATACTACAAGAAAGATATAATTTTACTGGAAGTACACTGTAAACATTTGCTATAAATTTCTCTAGCAAGAGGAGAGATATGGTTGACCCATCATAGCACTTGGATTGGTCAGTTAAATTACAGCTCTCCAAAGAGCCAGACTGATACCACGCTGCTCTGTGCATTAATTACATATAAATGTATTAAACCTTTAAAATAACTCAAAGCTGGCAGAATTAAAGTAACAATTAAGTTTAAAAAAAAAAAAAAAAGATGTGTTATGCTGGTAAAAATAAAGTTAAAAAAAACAAAACGTATTTGTTACGCTGGCAAATATTCTGTATTTCCAAACTGAGATATAAAGTAGTTACAACATGATTTCCTTGACATTAGGAGTTAATGAAGAGAGGGAAAAAATAACACCAGATTATTTCCATTTTTGCATGTACGGGAAGTTCTGTCAAATTTTCGTGCCAACACTGATTTCCAGGACTTCCTAATGAACTCTCAGGCAGCTGAACTTGATTTGACGCTGTTGTAAGCTGCTGTTTGTTCCCATGGCAGCCATAACAGTGCTACTCAAGAAACAACACCATGCAATATTTATACAGAGCATTTCTAGGGCAAAGTCCTAAAAGTGAAATAATAAGTGGGAACATTCTCTTTGTTTCCACTGCGACTGCACCACTTTAAGAAGGTTACAACTGATTCGTTATTTATAAATAAGTCCCATTTTATTGCTTGGGATGAATAAGGATCTACTGACCTTGAGAACTGGCAGCAACAAACATACACCTGGACATGTTGTAAATCGTTTATATGTCAGTTTGGGAATATAGTAGACCTTTCAGGTTAGAATGTATTAGAATAAACATTTTAGCTTAGAGAATGTTTGTATATTTTAAACTGCAGCCAGTGCACATTGCAGAGGATTAACACAATCTCATTTAAAAGGTATATCATATAAATGCTGCCTTGCTTTTAGGACTACTTTATAAAATCTCCCCCGAAAATTTCACATTTTATCAGTATAAATGTACACTGCGGAATTCCATTACAGGCAAATTAAATGACATCATTTTGTTTTAATATTGAGTTGTTTGCCTAAAGCCTTGCATAAAAACAAAAGGTTGCACACAGACAGCCAATCACTGGTTTAGTCAGCAATGGCAGGGGTAGCCAAAATTTAGATGCCAGTTGTTGAACTACAACTCCCATGATTCTTTAGTAGTTTTAAAGCTGACAAAGCATCATGGGAGATGAAGTTCTACAACAACTTTTAAACCACCACTGATCTAGGCAGACAAACACATGTCAACCAGGTCTAACCTAAAACTGTAGCAATATAATTTTCTTTGAGGACTTACGTTAACCAAAATTGCATGTTTTTTCTAAAGATACATATTTGGCAAAAAGGAAATCTTAAATTTTAAAATACTGATTTTAAACATACAAATTAAATTGAGAAAAATAGCTATGATTTAGCTATAGCTAAAGGCATCACCATTAATCACTTCAAAGCATCATATTCTGCAATATTTTGCTTGGCACTGCAAATCCTTCAGTCCGGTACTGAAGTGGTTAAGAAATTAACACAAGACGTGAATAGTGAAGCTTTATCACCTTTGGTCTTCGTGGGTATATAGACGATGTCACTTTGAGTATTTTTCTCATTATCAAGATATCACTTTTTTTTTACCTTTAGTCTATGATATGAGGTAAGAAAATATGGCACATTGTTATGTTCAGTATGCAGCTTGTTAACGAAATAAAACCCAACAAAAGGATCACATTGAAAATGTTAGGTGCTTTTGAAATACGATGACTTAAAAATATATATTTTGGAATGTTTGCAGTAAAGCAAAAGGCTCAGGTCCAGAGTATATCTACCAATTAAATGCTGTAATATATATTTGTATATATAATAAAATATGTACAGTCACAGATCAGTTTGGCACAATTTTAGTTTTCCTGTGGGATGTAATAGTGCATTAACTACTGTACAACAGTATGACTTTTAAACAGTCTTTCACAGAGAATATCAGATTAAGCTGCCCTTCAAACAAGTTATCACAATTCAAACCCTGGTTTTTCAGCACTTAACAGATCAACAAACCACAAGGCATATATTTTTTTTTCCGAAAGAAACAAAACATAAACATCAATTTATTTATTTTTTTTGAAAAAAAGTGTCTTTTCTTTTAAATGAAAAATGTTTGTTTTTTTCCCATTTCTACTATTTTTCTGTTTTGCATGTATTCTTCACTCCCTGCGGAAAAATGCTTGGTGTTGGCGTGGTAATCCAGGTGGGTATATAAATGCAGTTTCTCGAATCTTGCGTTGCAATGCAGGTCTGAAAATGCACCGCAGGGGGGAGCTGACAAACACATCGTGAGACCACATGAAGCTAAGTAACATATCTGTTATTTAAAATCCTTTACACTCCACATTGTGGTTTTGAATGCATATTTTTTGCTTTTGCAACTTTTTTTTTGTTTTTACATGGTGTTTGGAAAAAAAAATCTCTGCGTTAGAAACAAATAAGCACATAATATTTCAGAAAGAAAGAAGCCAAACAGCAGAAAATAGAGGCTTTTGTTAGTTTTAGTCATTGTAAAACCCCAGGCCAAGTCAGAAATCAGTCATATTAGGTAGCTTGTTAGCATATGTCATGCACAGCTTTTTTTGTATTTGCAAGGCAATGACTAGCATGCAGCTCTAGCCTTTTCTGAAGATTTGCTTTAAGGGAGAACTAAACAAAGACCAGCAGGCTTAGCAGGTGCGAAGAAAAAAAAAAAAAGATGCGTCTGAGCCACTTTGGTGCAGCATTACCTCAGTTTTTCGAATGCAACTGTGACCGAAGGTTCCTTGTGAGCTTGGTCTATTCTTTTCCCCTTACAGTTTTCATCCCGCAGAGATTTTGACGTTGATTTATGACGATATAGCTTTTTGTGAGTAGGTACATTATTGGCTAAAATACTTAGGTTTCCAAAGTTTTTATCAAAAAAGGCTGAGTGAAGATTCGCTCCGTAACCTAATGGGCAGCTGGGGTCAAACACTCCAAACTTAGTGTTGTTCTTACCTGAGCCCTTGTTTGTGGTTTTCTTAGAGCCCCCAGGGGAGCTGCCATTGACCTTTTTCTTAAAATCCTGGGGGGTTCCAGCTAAGATTTTAAGTGTTTTCAATTTTAAGCTGTTTGATTCTGGAGACACCACAATATCAGAAATGTTGGCATGACTTACCGGATTATAAAAAGGCTCCATGGAGGCCATCATGAACCTCTGAACATCAGCCATGCCAGATGCAATATTAGACAGAATGTTAGAAGGTTCCTCAAATTCCCTTTGATCATCATCGAGGAGATTGTTGGCACTGCTTGTTCCAGGATCAGGCCATGCAGCATTGTTACCTTTATCAAGCGTCCACTCACCTACCCCAGGAGCATTTTTCCCTGTCTTGGAGGAGCTTGGTCCATAGTGTGGCATGCAATCAGTTAGAGCCTCATTAGAAGAAATTGCATTGTTTAGATTTCCAGATTGACTGCCAGCACTTTGGGTTTTATCATTGTTTGCATTTTTGCCTTTCTTAGATGACTTGGGGCCAGGCTGTCGTGAAGCCTTTGTTTGTGTTTTGTCTACTCCCTTGTTAATTTTGGGGGCTTTCTTCTTGTTGGTTTTTGGAGGAGAGCTTTGGTTGGTACCTGTATTTCTGCTGGCTGTTGATTTCTTTTTAGACTTCGATGGCTTACCATTGGTTTGAACAGAACCCCCTGATTCATCATATCCTGGTAAGCAGGGGCCCTTCTCCATGACATTCACTGAATCCTCATCGTTGAACATGTGGAATTGAAATTGGTGATTATTTAGTGCAAACCCATTATTGGCAGACTCCTGTGAGGGAAGCACAGAGCAGTTCCACTTAACCTTTTCTGAGCCATTGAGCACCACCTGGGTACCATTCTGGAAGGCTTTTAGGTTTGCTACGGACTTTGCTTCAGAGCCTGCAATCTGAGGGGAGAGGTTAGGTGTGTCTGGAGGGGACATTTCTGAAAGGGATGAGTGACGGAATTTATCAGGGGTGAAGTTGGATATGTCAAGAAGGTCTGTAGATTCCTTTAACGGCGTGATTTCATCAATACTCTGCTGAATTACAAGCTTCGGGCTGCAATGGGCCAAGAAATCATCATTTATTTCATCTTCACCATCCTTTTCACAAGACTTCATGCTTAAGGAGCTGTAATTACTAGAGGTAACCGACAATGAACCTACTGAGTCAAAACTAATAAGCCTTCCATTGTCTGTGCTAAGTGTGCCTCTCTGTAAAGTGAAGCGCCCTTCTCCACTATTATAAGGACAAGGCTGATAAGTGTCATCCTGCTGAATTTGGCCCTCTTGCAGATATGCTTTGTGGTACAGCTGTTTGCCGCTGTTTGGATGAGCTTGATTGTATCCAGAGGCTGCGATGTCTGTGTCTGATACAGCTGCAGAGCCGACAAACTCCCCTGATATGATCGACACTTCCCTAAGGTTTGCAATGAACTCAGCCGGAGTGCTAGGAGGCTTGCCATGCCATATGTCTTGGAAGCTCTGCTCCATATCTAAATGATGGGGTGACTGTTGCAGCTCAGACTCAGAAGGAGGAGAGAGCACACAGCTCTGCGCAAGTTGCAAGGAACTGAACTGTTTGTCTGTCTGAATAATGTTGACTGACTGCTGCCCTAAGGGATGAGGGGCAAAGTATGTAATGCCAGTGCTACTAGATGAATCTGATGCATCTAACAGTGTCTGTAGATACCCTCCAGGGAGAACGGGTACATTGGTAGTGATGTGAACAGATGGTACTGGCTTGTTGGGAGAGCAGGTGGTTGGTAGAAATGAGGAATTTTTAGCATTATCATCAGAATGGCATTGAGATAGATTAGAACTGTCTGACGCAATATGAATGGTTTCTTCTTTCAAAAGAGCTACAGAGTCCTGGTTCTCTACGACAGGGAAAACCTCAGCTGTATCTGGAGTGCTAATATCTTGTACTTGCTCCAGTTTGATCTGTTTGCATTTCAGCCTGGCTTCACTTTTAAATTTAATCCTCCTTATCACTTTTCGATCTGGGTCTTTAAGCTCCCTCTCTAATGATCTGCATTTCACAGATGTGATATCTGCTATGTCACTTAAATGCAATCCATTCACACAACTTGGGCTTTCTATGGCCAATGAGTGCAAGTCGCGAAGACTACCATCGTCTTTGCTGCTGCATGCTTGCCGGTGGTCATATGAAGAGAGGATTTCCCTGCTCATAGGTTGCTCAATCGTTTGTATCCTCTGTAACCTGTGTCGGTTTGCTAACTGACCTTTTCTTTTTCTGGGTGGGATAGCATTTTCTGAGCCATCTTGATTCCTTTTTGCACACATGGCTGATTTGTTTCTCTGTCTCTCCTCCCAGTAGTCCTTCAGAGGAGCAAGCTTTTGGTATTTTCCCATCTGGTCCTCACTCAAAGTAACCGTTGTCTCGTTAGCATCAAGTTTTCCTAGTTTTACCAGCATATGTTTCTCTCCTTTGAACCTGTTGATTATTATATACTTTATGATCACAGGAGGCTCCTTTCTGCAAACTTTCCTCCTTTTTTTGGGGCACCAGTCATCATCATCTTCTTCTTTTGGCCCATCGGGAGCTCCCTCCTTTTTCTCTACAACTTTCTCATTCTCAAGGGAATCCATGTCATACAAGTAGTCATCACTATACCGAACTTTCCTCTTAACCCTCAGACCATAGTTAGGCTGTATAAGCGAATGAGAGTGCTCACGGGACAAGAATCTAGTGCAGTCCTTGATGTCTCCCAGTACATCATATGAAGATTCACTGCATGAGCTGTCATCACTATATTCTCCAGAATCCTCAGCTGAGTTTACTGAATCCAGAAAGTGGCTTCTTTTGGTGCTGATATACTGCACAACGTCCATGCTAGTTTTACTAAGGCCAGATTTAACATCCTCACCGTCTTCCTCATCCTCTTCATCGTCATCATCATCTTCCCAAATTCCACCTTCTTCAAGTTTAAACTGGGAAGGGTCAACCACCCTTTTCTTTGAACTTTTGCCCTCTCTTTTGTTGCAGTTGGTGAAAACACTAGGGAAGAAGTTGAACTGGGCATCCTCCTGCAGAGCATTTGTCTTCTCCCTCACATTATCTTGAAATGATTCATACCTGATCTTTAAAGAGCAAACATCACTTCCAAGTGTAGAGTCATCATCATCAAACATGTAATTGTCTACATCTTCCTCTGAAAACAAGTTAACGGACAGCTCATTCTTGGAGCACAAGTCTAAAAGCTCAATCTTACTCTCACTAATGAATGACTCGAAGTAGCCCCATTCCTGGTTTGGGTTAGAGAGCAATGCCTCATCACCATTACATTTGTCCAGCAGCAGTCCCTCATAATAATTCTTTTGTGTGGGATCCTCTGAGTCACTATCTGATTTACTTGGGTCCCTTTTGTCCACCTCTTGGGATTTATGGACAGGAAAGCTGAGTAGCTGATCAGAAAGAAGCTGGTCACCATATTTGAGACTGTCTCCTGTGCTCATACAGTGAATTCCAATGTCAGACACTGGGCATGTGTCAAAGTCCCTGTTTATATCTCCCATTTTCAGACTGATACCTGGTTCAGAGTCTACACCATCTTTTGATTCTATAAAACAGCCTAAACAGGTCCGACTCTGTTGCATCAAGCAGTCGCCAGTTAAAGCAGACATGGCCCCTGACTCCATGATGGTAAATGGTGCTTTTTCGTTGTCACTTGGTAATGACCAGGAACTTAGACCCTTGGTGATACAGGTTGTCAAAGATATGGCCTGAGCAGAAGGGTCACTGATAACATGTTCCGCTGCATCTGAGAGCCTCAGAGGAGAGGGAGGGCTTAGTAAACAAGTTTCCTTGGAAGTGATAGATGGCAATGTCCTGTGACAGGCGTGAATTTCCTTCTGTGTTAAGGCTGGAAATGTGACAACAGCATCTGCAGCATCATAGGACTTCACATCATCCTCGGGATCATGAGGCTCTGCAGTGGAGGAAAAACAGAACAATGTTTTACATTCATCATTCATCACACTTTCCAACCTACATATATATAGAGACATCAACACACAGTGGGACACATTTGTAAAACCGAGAAAGCCGTTAACAATCGTTAACAGCAATTCAAGAGGATGACTGTTAATGATCGTTAATGGCTTTTGCATTGTGGAGGATTGCCCCCTAAGTATATAAACTAATTATATATTCCAATAGAGACTGAGAATATAAAATGGGTTAGGAATTTTTATTACAGTAAAATTCAAGTCTTCAGTCCTTAGCTGTATAAATGAGGTACTGGAAGAACTAAATCCAAGATCTAAATGCTATGTCTAGGGACAAGTGTTGGTAATATCATGGTACATGAAATAAAGCTCTTACATGTATAATTTTAAATGTTTTGTTGTTTGTTCTTTCACTAAAAAGTGAAATACCCACAACCCTCCCCTAATATATTGGACTTAACTTTCTATCTGAATATTGGTAAATTAAAGTTGCTAATTACTAAAGCCATGTCATAGCAGTCAATCCATGTATAACCTTTTTTGTACGTAATAAAAAAATCAGAACAGTAAAATATTGCACATGCATCTCTGCACTGGTTTGTTATATATATATATATATATATATATATATATATATATATATATAGTAATGGTAAAAATAAAGTACACTCTCCGTGTAGTATTTGGCTTTACATATCAGGACATAATAAGAATCATCTGTTCCTTAGCAGGTTTTAAAATGAGGCAATTAAAACAACACACGACATATTACACCGTGTCATGGTTTATTTACAAAAAATTAAGCCAAAACAAAGAAGGCGTGTGTGAAATTTGTATACCTAATAATGCAACAGCCTGTAGAAATATCTTTAGCAGCAATAACTTGAATTAATGGTTTTCTGTATGAGTTTATCAGTCTCTCACATCGTTGTGGAAGAAATTTGTCCCACTCTTCTTTAAACGCTTCTGTTCAATGAGGTTTGCTGGCATTTGTTTATGCACAGCTCTTTTTAGGCATTTCAATCTGCGTCTGGACTTTGACTGGGCCATTGCAACCCTTTGATTGTTTTCTTTTTCAGCCATTCTGTTGTAGATTTGCTGGTGTGCTTGGGTCATTGTTCTGTTGCATGACCAAATTTCAAACATGCTTTATCTGTCAAACAAATTGCCTTATATTTGACTCTAGAATACAGTACTTTGGTAAACAAATAAGTTCATAGTCAACTCAGTGACTTCAAGGTTCCCAAGTCCTGTGGCTGTAAAACAAGCCCAAATCATCTCCCTTCCACCACGTGCTTGACAGTTGGTATGGGGTGTTTGTGCTCATATGCTGTGCTTGGTTTCCACCAAACATGGAGCTGTGCATTACGGCCAAACATTTTCACGTCTGCTCGTCTGTCCAAAGGACATTGTTCCAGAAGTCTTGTGGTTTGTTCAGATGTAACTTTGCAAATCTCAGTCATGCTGCCATGTTCTTCTTAGAGAGAATATGCTTTCTCCAGGCAACCCTTCCAAACAAACGATACTTGTTCAGTCTTTTTCTAATAGTACTGTCATGAACTATAACATTTAAAGGACCACTATAGTGCCAGGAATACAAACTTGTTTTCCTGGCATTATATAGTCCTTAGTTCCCCCCCTCCCGCTGGATTGAAGGGGTTAAAACCCCTTCCGCCACTTACCTTAATCCAGCACCGGGCTCCCTCAGCGCTGGTGACCTCTCCTCCCCCTGTGACGTCAGCTCCCAAGTGGAGCCGAATGCGCATGCACGGCCAATGCTTTCCTATGGACGTTCTGCGTGCTCAATGCAATTTTTACATTGAGCATCGCAGAAGCGCCTCTAGCGGCTATCAGGAAGACAGCCGCTAGAGGCTGGATTCATGGGCGTCCACAGGGGGAAGGCACTAATTTTCGTGTGAGATTGAAAATACAGTGCAATACCGGCTGTGTATGGAGAGAGACAGGGATAGGAAGCTGCATCTTATCCCTGCTTCTCTCTGACTGAATCCGCAGCGGAGCAACACATACAGCCAGAGAGAGCCTACAGATCAGGTAAGTGAGGCATGGGGGGAGGGGGGGCAGAGATAGCCTATAGATCAGGGTAGTGAGGCATATGGGAGGCAGAGATAGTCTATAGATCAGGGTAGTGAGGCATATGGGAGGCAGAGATAGCCTATAGATCAGGGTAGTGAGGCATATGGGGGGGCAGAGATAGCCTATAGATCAGGGTAAGTGAGGCATATGGGGGGCAGAGATAGCCTATAGATCAGGTAAGTGAAGCATGGGGGGGCAGAGATAGCTACAGATCAGGTAAGTGAGGATGGGGGGGAGGGGGAACAGCCTACAGATCAGGTAAGTAAGGGATGGGGGAGACAGCCTACAGGAAGGTCAGCAAGGACCAGGAAGGTAAGGAGGAGCAGAAAGGAGAAGCAAGGATCACAACAGGTAAAGTAGGAGGAGCGCAAAGGAACACAAATGAGCAGGAAGGGGCAGCAAGGAGCACGAAGGGTCTGCAAGGAGCACGAAGGGTCAACAAGGAGAAGGAAGGGTCTGCAAGGAGCATGAAGGGACAACAAGGAGCAGGAAGGGTCAACAAGGAGCAGGAAAGGTCAGCAAGGAGCTGGAAGGTAAAGCAGCTCAAAGGTAAAGTAGAAGGAGCAGAAAGGGTCAGCAAGGAGCTGAAAATGGCAGCAAGGAGCAGGAAGGGACAGAAGAAACACAAAGGTGGAGTAGGAGAAGGAACAGAAATGAGCAGGAAGGGTCTGCTAGGGGCAGCAAGGAGAAGGAAGGGTCTGCAAAGAGCAGAAAGGGACAGAAGGAGCACAAAGGTAAAGGAGCAGAAAGAATCAGAAGGAGCACAAAGTTAAAGTAGGAGAAGGAGCAGAAAAGGGTAGCAAGGAGCAGAAAGGGACAGCAAGGAGCACAAAGGGATCAGAAAGAGAAAGGAGCAGAAGGGGGAGCAAAATAAGCAGAAAGTAGCAGAAAGGTAAAGGAGCAGAAGGAGCCAAGGAGGAGAGAAGACAGTGTCAGAAGAAAAAGAAGACTGTGTCAAATGAAGGAGAAGAAAAGAAGATTGGAGCAGATTGGAAGATTGGAGCAGGAAGGAAAAGTGAAGTGAACCCTCCACTTTATTCTGGACACCACATCATAAGGCTTTGGTACCTGGGCCTGGAAGGGAAACTTTGGACCTTCTCATCTCCCCAGGTAAAAAAATATCAGTGTTAATGTGTTCACTTTTATTTACTGAGTGTCAGGAAGCAGAGGGCCGCTGGGGAGGGGTGTTGCTGATTGGCTAGAGCGGTCAGCTGGTACTCTAAGCCAATCAGTAGCTCCCCATTCATAAAAAAAGTTAAACATTTTTATGAACCGGGAACTAGCGATTGGCTTAGAGCGTCAACTGACCACTCTAGCCAATCTGTAGCACCCATGCCTGACGTCAATCTGCACTTCCTGACACTCCGTTTCAGAAGCCGAATACCACTAAGCGACCTGGAAATGGAGCTGGAGGAAGCCTTTGGGGTTAAACCATTTGAGAGCGGTTTAACCCCTTAAAGGAAAGACAGCACCCAGGGGCTTCCTGGCATCATAGCATTTTCATTTAGATGAAGTTGTTATGGTGACCAGAATGTTCCTTTAATTTGCTTAAAGGAACACTGTAGTGTCAGGAATACAAACGTGTATTCCTGACACCAAAGTTGTGATAACGCTATTCACCCTGGCTTTTTGTGATAATGACTATGCTCCTCCCCTTCATGACACTGTCAAAAAGGGACCAAGCATGGATGTCATTACAATTATGTCCCCCCAGGAAAAATTCCTGCGGATGCCCATGGCTGGTTAACCCTGCAATGTATACATAGCAGTTTAACTGAAACTGCTATGTTTACAGCTGCAGGGTTAAACCCTGGGGGACCTGCCACCCAGACCACTTCATTGAGCTGAAGTGGTCTGGGTGACTATAGTGGTCCTTTAACATGCTAACTGAGGCCTGTAGAGTCTGAGATGTGAATCTTGAGTTTTTTGCAATTTCTTGGAGCATTGCACGTTCTGACCTCAGGGTGAATTTGCTGGGATGTCCACTCCTGGAAAGATTGGCAACTGTCTTGAATGTTTTCCACTTGTTCATAATATTTCTCACTGTAGAATGTTGGACTTACATTTTTTTGGAAATGGCCTTATATTCCTTCCCAGTTGGATGGGCAACAACAATTGCAGCTGCCCTGCCTCCCTCCCAAACTGCCACACACCGGCTTTCTGAGAGGCATGCCGGTCCCATTTCCCCCCCTGTGGGCCGGGGGGGTTATCCCGGTCCCCACTGCAGAGAGCTTGAGATATGTGGAAACTAGGTGGAGTGGAACTCCCAGGGCCTACCTTACAAGATGGCGGCAGTGCCAAGCCCGGTACCAACAGCACATGCCTTGTGAAACCACGCAACCCACCGCAAAGCAAGTCCGGCTACAGCATGTAAACATTGCGTGCAGTTCTCCTTGATCCCGCAGTACATCGCTGGCTTACAACAAATAGGAGTGCGGAGGGCTGGTCCCGGCAGATTTTGTGTCTTAAGCTGCAACATTCACGGCTCCCAAGTATACAAAAGTGCTTAGGCACGCAAAGCAGTTTCCCCAACAAGCAGTCTACTACAGGAACAGGTTACAGCAACCTCTTGGATCCTCGTACAGTCCCTACGGTAGATATCTGACGTGGAGCAGACCTACACTTATGGAGCCCACCCAGCACATTGCGGACGGAGGGGCCTTATGAGAGGGCACTAATGCTTGAAAGCCAAGACTGACGCCATTACAAGCCCGACAGAATCAACTCCACTACTCAGCCGGCTGAATACCTCACCAAGAAGGCATGTGAGTGCTCCCCGGTCTGGCTGATACAGTCCCAGCGCTGGGTCATTAAACCCTAGCAGCAGAATGAGGACTTATATTACATGCTGGACTTTGCCAAATTAACAGGCGGTAGGTCAGTGGGGTGTGAGAGACTCATGTGGGACTACTAGGTTTACAGTTTCTCCACCAATTACATCTATGATTGGCAAGCTCTGTCGCGGTGCTGGGTGCCTTAAGCTATATATGTGACCAGCTCCAGTGGTACTTGCTTGCAGGTTATGCCTACTACCCCTGCTTATCATGTGATTGCTCTACTATATGTTAACTCATGCAGGGTACTATAAGCAACTATAACATGCCTTTGGCTTTCTTTTTAGTGCGCTTTATAAATAATACATGTGAACTTAGCTTGAATCAAAGAGGCGCTTGCTACTTCAGCATTGTTTTATTAATATCAGCTTAATGTGAACAGTTTTCATTGCATGCCAAAATCGTTACTAGATTGTTTCAACGTATTTCCAAAAATTGTGCAGTTTCTGAGCACCACACTGTCAATACTGGTGTTTAATTCATGTGTGCTGTTGTGGCACATGACATATGCTTGTAACTCCTCAAAAAAAAAGAAAAAAGTTATAAATTGATTTGCATGTCAATGAGTGAAATAAGTATTTGATCCCCTATCAATCAGCAAGATTTCTGGCTCCCAGGTGTCTTTTTATACAGGCAATGAGTTGACGGTACAGGGCCCAGATGGGGCCATGTACCGTCAAATATTGGGTGAGCACCTCCTTCCTTCAGCCAGGGCATTGAAAGTGGGTCATGGATGTGTATTCCAGCATGATAAAATGACCCAAAACACATAGCCAAGGCAACAAAGGAGTGGCTCAAGAAGAAGCATATTAAGGCCCTAGAGTGGCCTAGCCAGTCTCCAGACCTTAATCCCATAGAAAATCCGTGGAGGGAGCTGAAGGTACGAGTTGCCAAACGTCAGCCTCGAAACCTTAATGACTTGGAAAGGATCTGCAAAGAGGAGTGGGAAAAAATCCCTCCTGAGATGTGTGCAAATCTGGTGGCCAACTACAAAAAACATCTGATCTCTGTGATTGCCAACAAGGGTTTTGTCACGAAGTGCTAAGTCGAAGGGGTCAAATACTTATTTCATTCTTTGACGTGCAAATCAATTTATAACTTTTTTGACATTTTTTTTTTGTATTTTTTTTTGTTTTGTTATTCTTTCTCTCACTGTTAAAATACACCTACCATTAAAATTATAGACTGATAATTTCTTTTTCAGTGGGCAAATGTTCAAAATCAGCAGGTGATCAAATACTTTTTCCCCTCACTGTACCTAATGTCCCTCGGTGCTGAGTCTTGCTCCGCCTTTGTCAGGATTACAAGTTGATCCAGCACGTAGAACTGTATCCCACCTAGGACTAAAAGATAACGTCTTACCGGGCCTTAGAATGGCCGGACTTAATACTTGCCGAGGCCAGGGATACAGAAAGAGAAACAATGATGAGGGAAAGCCAAAAGTCAGGGATACCAGAATACAGGGAAGTCAAACGAAGCCAAAGTCAATAACCAGAAATAAACGCTCAGGAATACACTCTCGGACAACCACTTGGGAAACCACGACAGGACAATGAGCAGAAGGAATAGGTAACCTTAAATACCCCTCTTGTGGATCCGATTGGCCAAAACCAGCCTTTGACCCCAGAATGTGCGTGTGTGTCCTTTACGTGACTTCATGCGCATGTCGACATCTTCCATGCCGTGGGCGGACGTGGGGTTATAAATTAGTGTGGATCTGCAGCGGCCCGGCGTCCATCAACATGCTGCATGGGTCAGACACATTGATGCATGGCCGCTGAAAGGCACTACCGCGTTTATTGGCAAGGCAAGCACTATCAATGTCGCAAGGTGAGGATGAACATGTGACAGCCTTCTCTCACCCCATTGAGGGGGGTCTAATTGACATGCGCCAGACGTGCTGTGAGTGCACTAGGCCCTCCCCATATGAAAGCACTGCTTCACTGCTTTCCTATGGGGATTTTACTGATGCTGGCTGTCTTCTTGCAAAGCTTGAGGAGGTCCAGCTTCTTTTCGGCAATGTTAGCAACCATGAAGCGCCTCATGTCCTGTCTACTACACAGATTCCCTTAGAGATATCCCTCCAGAATGAGTATTTAATTTCAGAAATATAAAATCTTTATGAACTATTCACATTTTACTTACTTTCACTAAAATTCCAACAAGCCAAAAGATATACTAAGACAAAGTAGGGACTACTTTGTCTTAGTATTTTTCCCATCCTTGACAAAAAAATGTAATTTCCTGCAGCGTTACCAGTGAAAGTTGTAGGGAAAAAGGCTCTTTCTATGGAGGTCCCAGCAGTCTCATATGTGTGAGAGTGTAATACTGATGTAGGTACCTGGCAGATGAAGCAACAAAAGTGGCAGAGGACAGTCAGGAAAACTTTCCTTCCCCTGCACCCGGAGGCCACTGGACACCCAGTGAAGCTGTCATATTTAGGGGCAAATTATGCAAAGAACCAAGATGGTGATAGAGCCGCTTTTAAAAAACTGTAATGGTAAAATACGTCTGTGGTACTCTGTAGTGGTTATGATACCAGGAGTACCCTGGTGCCATTAGCCCCCTTACCTGGATATCCATCAGATGTCTAGTCTCCATCTGGCAGAGTTTCAGAAGTTGGATGCCGATCCCACCCGCCATTCATCCATTTATTGGAGCAGCCAGCCTACACTCTCAGCCAATAAATAACACTCTGTGCATAGAAATATGCACAGAATTGACATTGACCAGTCAGAAACTCTTGTTCTGGGCTAACTAATGACGTTTTAGTGACGCCTCACTGAAAATAAATTCTCATTAAAATGTGCAGCATTTCAAAGCAACATTTTTGAATATACAAACTGCAGGCACCATCACCACTTCACATAACTCAACTTGTAAGCATAGTGATTAAGCATACTGTTTAGATAGATAGATAGATAGATAGAAGATAGATAGATAGATAGATAGATGATTTGACACACACTTGACAGTCTAACATTTTCCTGGAGTACCCCTTACCATTTCCATTAATCCCATTAATAAGAAGGTTGCTGGCTCCTTGTGCAACAGAGTCTTTTTCTTCCTGGCCGTCCATTAATTTATCGTTGTGATGCTCACTCCATACCTCACCGCGTGTGTCCAGCCTGAAACAGAAACAGTCCATTTTACAAACTAAAGCAAAAAAAATAAATGCAGGTTGGCTTGACTGCCTTGCACAAGATTTAACAAAAGAACACAGCTCTCTTTTAAGGAGTTATTTGTTGTCCTTTATCCACAAAACATTTGGGGGAAAAGTGAAAGGGGACCTTTGACTCTCAAGTAAGAACACTACCTCCTCCCCTTCCCCCCATCACCACTCCAAATACATCTTACTCCCCACTCAGTCATAGTTGTGAATAAAAAAAATAAAACCAACAAAAGACCATCACTGGGACAATTTAAACCTTTGAACAAGAAGCAACGCACTAATGTGATAAGTCTGACCTGTATCAGGCCTGTGAAGGACCATGATTGGGTTTGTGCATGTAGTATAATGGATTTAAGAACAATACATCCAGCCTGTCTTTCCAACATGACACATTCCTGATAGCCCCTTTTTTGTTGAATTTTATTGTTACATTTTTTGCAACTTGTAATGTGTGTACTTTTTTTTGCAAATCTACTTTATTATTCTGATCTAATGCCACTCCTTTAATCTTTCCATAACATATTTAACATGTTTTAGTTTACACATATGAAAGTTTTATTTCATTTTGTAAAAAAAAACTTTTTTGTTCAAATGTTTATTAAACGTTAAAATATAGCAAAAGGCAAGACTATACAGAAGGAGTCTCCATGTGTCCTGGAGTGGAGACATAATACAGGAAAGTGAGGACTATAGAGACTAATTGTAAAAGAAGAGGCAGTGTTTACATTGCTCCCTAAGTACACCTCCAGTGTCACTCAGAAGTTGTGCAGCACTGATGTTCAGCACCTCCATGCTCTGCATGAAGATGCTGAACGTTTCCCAAAGAGATGCGTTTGGCTCCGCCCCCGCTCCTCCTCCTCTGCTGAGATCATCAGAATTGACAATCTCAGCCAATCCACAGGAAAGCAGTGAATTGGCTGAGATTGTCATTTCTGACGGATCGGGGGCTGGGCCAGTGCCAGCAGGGGAAATAAGTTGAGTTTTCACCCTATTTACACTATATATTTGTGTTTCTGACCCTATAGGGTTCCTTTAAAAACATTTTTTTTTAAATCTATTTTGTTTCAAACCTTGATATTATGATTATTATATAAACAAAATAGTTTTGTGGTGACACTTGTCCTTTAAGGCAAAGTAAAGACTAATTTTCCAATACGTGTAACTGAGAACAGGGCTCAAAAAGGTACACGTAAAAAATATCATTTAGCTTTTGGCTTGGAATCCATCATTTTTGTCATCTGACAGGATGTGCAATTTATATTATGTCTCTCATCTGGTTTATCTGTATTCTTTTTGCAACGTAGTTAGCCACTTAATAGACATAAACGTATGGGAAGATGCAGGTGATGTCACACATCTCAAGCAATGAACAATATGTACTATGTTGCATTCCTGCACATGAATTCACCAGTGGCACAAGCAGAAGAAACTGCCAGGGGATGCGAAGAGAATTAGATCCAAAAACTGGGCTGTCACATGCTTGTGTAATTAAAAGCAAATTAGTAACTTTAAATTAATTCTCCAGGTTTGAAATGAGGTTGAATGATGTTAATTACCTTTATTTAATGTAAAAATAAAAAATTAGGTGACTGGTATAATTTAACTAAAAGAACGCAATTTGTACCTTTCTCTTCTTTATACCTTGCAGAAGCATACTGTTTTAGATTGTGGCCTTAACCGATTTGACAATGTTGCCCTAATGAATCCTGCAAATGCTTTCATTATAGACAGTCTACTGCACTGTTGAAGCAATCTGCTAATTCATAATTAACAAAGGTTTGCATTCTATTTATTGCCCATAAAAAAGTATTCTTTTATTTATTTACACAGTATCAGCCATGCAGAGAGCAAATTTAAATAAACCTAGCCCTACGATACAAGACAGCATCCATGTGGCTAGTGTATAAAGTAGCCAGTTAGCTTTCTATTTAGATTCAGGCTGAAGATATTGAATTAGATGATAGGGTCGAGTACTGACCAGAAATGCAGTGGTTTTTTTTTTTAACGGATAATCCCTATGACTCTTTTGTAGAATACGATCATATTCCCTCTGACAATCTGAATTCTGTGCCTGTCGTTACTTTTCAGTTGACATTTGAAAGATGTTTGGGTCCTTTCTCTCCTTCCCCTTCAAGCCTCTTCCTGTGTTAGACAAACCAACGTCATTATGGGAACGTGCGAGGACTTGGAAATAGGCATCTGAAAGAGTTTGTACGGGTGTTGCAGCCTTCTCATGACACAATGACAGCCAGACACATATAACAAGCCCGGTAACACAGTACACAAAGCCTGGCCCAGCTGCATTTCAAAGCTTTTAGTTATATAATGCCATGGAGTGCAATCCCAGCAGTCTACGCATTGCACTTTCAGCATATAAAGAATATTATGATAAAAATATAAATAAATAAGTAATCATATGAGCTTACGATCCTACTGGGAGGAGAGCACTGCAGATGTCAAACAATAAAAGGCCCATGAAACGTTACAATTCTTATAATTACATTTGAGATAACCGGACACGCAATTAAGAAATATTATGTCTCAATAATTAAATATTCCTTCTGATCACGACTTCTAGTAAGGACATTAATATATAAAATATCTTCAAAAACCTTTGATCTTATAATTTAACCCTTGGTACTCCTAATGAAGAAATTTACTACAGGAATTAATCATCTATTGGTCAAGCCACAGAGGGAACCAGCTACACTTTACCTGTCATTAGTCAAGCCACGTAGGGGACCAGCTACATTTACGTGTCATTGGTCAAGTCACGGAGGGAGCCAACTACAATTTAACTGGCGTTAGTCAAGCCATGGAGGGAACCAGCTACACTTTGTCTGTCGTTAGTCAAGCCACAGATAGAGCCAGCTCCAATTTATCTGCCATTGGTCAAGACACGGAAGGAGTCAACTACACTTTACCGTAACCTGTCATTGGGCAAGCCATGGAGGGAGCAAGCTAAACTTTATCTGCCATTAGTCAAGCCATGGAGAGAGCCAACAAAATGTTCTCTATAATTTGTTTGAATCAATAAGCGAACGAGTGAGCTACATCTTACCTATCTTTCGTCAAGTCTCTAAACTATTCCACCAATATCAGATGCTGAGTTTGTATGAATGCCGACTTATATGTTTAAAACTTTTCTTTATAAATCTTTTTTTTGCAAAACATAAATAACTGTATTCTGCTGCTTTCTATATTTAGTTTAGAACACTGGAAGTCTCAGTATTGTAAATTCACATAGGACTCAAAACAACCCATCTGTCTTTAAAAACTTTTCGCCTTTCCCCTATAAATACATAGCTTTTATGTACCAGGGGATGCAGGGCTGTGGGTCAGCTTTGCTACGTAGTAAGTACATTTCACATTAGTGTGTTGTCTTGTTTCCAGCTTGCTGCAAGGGATCCGAGGGTTTGAAGGTAGCACTGAGCTGACATTTCGAGAGCCAAGTACAATCTATCATGATTAGCTGGCCCAGCTAAGGAGAGTCCTGTTGCGGAAGATGGCAGGTGTGGCTGCAGGTCAGAGCTAGCTGAGACAAACCAAAAAGTGCCAGCTGGCTCCAAAAAAACTCCCTCTGGCAAGATTTTCATTGCTCAAGACATCCTTGCAGGGAATGCCTTGCCGTAACTGTCGTACTGCTGGCCAAAATGGTGTAACACTGCATAAATTAAACTCAAGATTTCGGTGATACGCTTCTAAAGCAATTACAGCAGCACATACTTCCATAGGATGGGATCCAATTACCTATGGTAAATAATCCATGATTTCCTTTCATTTTGACAATTTCTTTAGCTGTCTATGGAAGAATTGGAACTCAAATACAAAAGATACATTTCTCTCAGGCGATTGAAACCAGCCTATTTATTGCAACCAAACAGAAGGTAGTGATCCATTTCATAGATAATAAAATCCAACAATTAGTTTCCACAAAAGTGTGTTGTTTTTTTAAAAAATACTTAAAGGAAGGTATCACCTACATTAGTACCTACAGGTACAATCTTTTGCTTGAGATTGTACCTGTAGGTATATATATATATATATATATATATATATATATATATATATTGTGATAAAGTGAAGGCAGATAGGCCTACAACATTTAACCCCAGGGGGAGTATGTGTAGGATGTGTTGTAGGCAACACAAAACACTGTTTAGTTATGGGCCCCTGGGGTGGAGCATTTGGAGAGAAGGGTGGGCCAATGCTCCACTCCACAGTTTAGTGGTTTTCTGGGGAGACATGGATACAGGCCAGGGTTTTTTGGATCGTCTCCAACCCACTGCTCAGCTGCAGTTAATGAGCTGTTGCAGTGGGAATAAACTCCTCCCTGCTAGGCAGGTAAAGGAGAGGGATTGCTGGCTTCCTCCCAGGAAGCAGGCAGGAGAGAGGCTGTTCTCTCCATGTAGAGAGTCAAGAAGACTAGGCACTGGGAGTGCGGAAAGGAAAGCAGTCAGGGAAAGGCTGGCTTGGAGCACTGGGAGTGCAGAAATGAAAGCAGTCAGGGCAAGGCTGGCTTGGAGCACTAGGAGTGCGGAAAGGAACGCAACAGGCTAGCCAGCAGAGTGTTGCTAACTAATAAGGTTGGTGCCATATGTTTTGTTAGTTTAACCCTGATAGAGAGGGATGTTCAAAGTGAGTTAGTGCTCAGACCGAGCTAGGTTTTTGTTTATAGGGTTTTGTGTTACATTTATGTTTTAATTTACTGCTGTATCCTGTGTGGATTTGCAAATAAAGTGACTGGATTATATGCAATTACAAGGACTGTGCATGTTTTTGCCCTAGAGGACCGTGCTACCTGCTGACAAGGATCACAATATATATATATATATATATATATATATATATATATAAATGAAACAAGGGGGTGTGGCTGCACTCACCTGAACATGCATAAATGTGGTGCTGCTGGGGGCCAGATTATACAATACACGAGATCCAGCGCACTCACCTATCCACTAAACAGCAACTTCAATGTTGAAAGATTTTATTAGTTTTTTTCTTAAAAGACACCTAATCTAGGCAAAAATAATGGGGGTTTAGTTACATTATATGATCATACATTGCATAAGCCTGCCACAACGTCAATTTTGCCTAGATTAGGTGTTTTTAAAAAAATTAAAAAAAATAAAAATAAAATCTTTTTGAATGGGCTGTTTAGTGGATAGATTTGTGTATTATATACATATACACACACATACACACAATAATGGGAAAAAGAAAGTACACCCTCAACGTGTTTTAATTTATTTATCAAAAATAAGGTAAAACTGGAGAAGTATGAGACTTGACACACCACGCAGGACTGAGTATTTCTTACTAGTTTATTAGCAGGTAATGGTTAAGATAACAGTGACCATGTGAACCGTATATAGTAATCTAGTGCAGAAGTTTCAAAAAGGGCTCCCACAGCATACCTGCCAAGTCCCTGGCTTGGTTCCAACAATACCTGAGGCCAAATACTGTAACAATGTAATAACATATGGAGCAATAGATGTATGCAGGACAGCAACTCTAAGTCCTGTTCCTTCTCAATTCACAATTATTCACAAGATAATAGCCGAACTTACGTGAACAAAAATACCCACATCACTTGGAAAAAACTATTTTAAAAATACGTTTATTTTTTAAAATTAAAATTTCATTAGAAATAGATTGGGTGGGGGGATGGGGATAGGATAGATGATTCCAAGGAATATGATGAACTGATGAGGTGTCCCTGAGGCACGAAACGCGTTAGCGTTATCACCTTTATGTTCTGGATAAAATGTTATATGAAGAAAGAAAGGTAATTTTTATGGCTTTGTCCCTACATCAACTCCAGTTTTAGAGTGGTAATTTCAAATGCAATTCCTGCATTAAGTAAAATATGAATATACCAAGCTTAATACACATATCTATCATGTTTGTGTGAAGTTTCCCATTGTATGAGGTCTTTGGAGGGTGTAATTAGACACTTGCATGATAACACAGTAACAAAGGGTTAGGGTACAGTACATCATTAACTAAGGACCATCAAGCAAAAAGTGGACTATGTATGGATATATGATTGTGCCTGTACACATTATGCACGATTATATTAAGTATAGGTATTGCACAGTTATCCGTATGTACAGACCTTAAAATAAAGTTGTTGTATGATCTCATGACAATTCAAACAGCAACCCAGCTTGTAAGGTTATAAATGCTTCCCTGTGAGAATTGCTAAAGAAGACTGGCAGCTGTTTGAAACATTGGCTAAATGTTTACCTAACATTCTAAAAATACTAGATAGAGAACTCATGTATTACACACACAGCACGGGTGTCTAAGATGTAATTATCCATGGAGTGTTGGATGTGAGTAGAGCATAATAAGAAAATAAGCTTGTAACATTTTTAAACAGTTACTATAGTGACCATTCCCATTGCCCCTTCTGTTTTCTATATGAATTATCTTGGTTCCTCTGTATGGTTTACATTTCATGTTAATCAGTCTCTGGCAATGTTCCAGTATATGATCAAGTCCCAAGTGTCAAGTGAGGCTTCATTCTTAATTATTATCATCAAGATTGTGTCCATTAGTGCTGTTTGAAAACTGTTCTATAAGTGTGTGCAAGGCTTCATCAATACTACATAGAACAATACTCTAGTGGGCTGCTAGTCATTCTATACCATGGGGCTCTAGAAGCCTGTTAAGCAGGTCCCCTGAACCCAGTGTCCACATTTCATCACGAGTACTTGATGAGACGGTATCTTAGTCATCTGCTGCTTTTACTAGTTTTTTTTAAAGCCACACTATACGCACCCAGACCACCTCATCTCATTGAAGTGGTCTGGGTACAGTGTCCCGGTCCCGTTAACCCTGCAATGTAAAACACTGCCGTTTTAAAGAAACTGCAATGTTAAAATTATGATTACTATTATTATTACTGGTATTTATATAGTGCCAGCATATTCCTTAGCACTTTACAATATTATCAAAGGGGGAGATTTAACAATAAATGAGACAATTACAAAAACTTACAGGAACAATAGGTTGAAGAGGGCTCTGCTCAAACAAGCATACAATCTATAGGAGGTAGGGCGTAAAACCCAACAGGACAAGAGGTAGCAATCAAACAAGGTGGAGTGAAGCAGAGCTGGAGAAGAGAATAGTGTGCTGCCATTTAGAAGAGAGCAAGGGACAGGTATGTGAGGTAGAGGTTACTCTGGGAGGCCATAAGCTTTCCTAAAGAGATGGGTTTTGAGGCACTTTTTAAATGATTAAAGACTAGGGGAGAGCTTGATGGTTGTAGGCAGGCAATTCCATAGAAAGGGAGCCACCCGCAAAAAGTCCTGCAAGCGTGAGTTGGCTGTACGGGTGCGAGCAGCAGACAGGAGAAGATCATGGGCAGAGTGGAGAGACCGAGAAGGTGCATACCTGCAGATCAGTGAAGAGATATAAGAGGGGCTAGAATTGGTCAGTGCTTTATAGGTGAGGATTTGTACCTTGAATTGACTCCTATACGATACAGGAAGCCAATGTAAGGACTGACAAAGGGGAGAGGTGTGAGAGGAGTGACAGGAGAGGAAACTCAGTCTATCAGTCTGCTACAGACTGTAGCAGGGCAATATGACTTGTGGGAATACCTATTTGGAGAGAGTTACAATAATCCATTCGGGAAATTACTAGCGCATGGACAAGCTCCTTTGTAGCATCTTGTGTAAGAAAGGGGCGGTTGCGGGCTATGTTTTTAAGGTAGAATCTACAGGATTTGGTAACAGACTGGATGTAAGGCTCAAAGGTAAGGCCAGAATCAAGTATAACGCCAAGACAGCGTGCTGTCAAGGATGGACTGATGTGGGTACCACTCACTTGAAGGGAGAGCAAGAGAGGAGGATCAGTATTAGTAGGAGGAAAGACAAGGAGCTCCTTGTTCGAATTGCTGGGTTTCGTGGTCAACCTGGAGAAATCGGCACTCGCTCCGACACAGGTGATCGACTTCTTGGGTTTCGAAATACACGCAACGGTGTGCCTCCTTCGCCTTCCTTAGTCCAAGATCACCACCATTTGGAAGGAAATCCGGAGGATACTGCGCCAAGACCGGATTCCACTCCGAGTGCTGGCTTTACTAGAGGGCCACCTTTACTAGAGGGCCATGCAACGCATGAAGGCCCACTTCCTGTGCAGGAGACCCTCCGACGACCAAGTGATTCCTCTCACCAGATGTCAAGATCGAGCTTCGCTGGTGGCTACTTCACATGTCCGCCTGGAATGGCAAGGCGATTTTCGGACCGACCTTGGATTTTGTATTGGAGTCGGACGCGAGCCTTTGGGGCTGGGGAGCCACATGTGCGACCGGCTTCACGGGAGGCCCCTGGTCGGAATCAGAGATGGAGTACCACCTTTCGGATTGTTGCCTTCTACTCAGGCTGGACAACGTATCGGCGGTGCAATACATCAACCGCCTAGAAGGTGCCCGCTCCCGGATACTTTCGGAGGTGACGAAGGAAATTTACAGCTTCTGCCCCCAACACAACATTACTCTCCAGAGTATTTCCTGGGTGTGTCGAACCTGACGGCGGACTGGTTCTCCAGACATTGGAGGGACGCCAGCGATTGGAGGCTCCTTCGTCCAGTGTTCCTCGAGATCACAGACCAGAGGGGCCCGTTCACTGTGGACCTATTTGCCTCCAGGACAAACTTCCAGGTACTGACTTACTTCATTTGGCTTCCGGATCCGGCTTGCGCAGTGGTGGATGCATTTCTTCAGGATTGGCCACCTCAGGGAGCTTATGCATTTCCTCTGTTCGCTATCACTTCCAGAGTCCTGCTGCAAGTATGTCGCCAACGTGTGTCATTAGTGTTACTAACCCCCCTTTGGCAAGGCCAGGCTTGGTTCCTGGAACTTCTGGAACTTTCACATCAGGACACGCTCCTCCTGCTATCCCCGCAGACTTTTCTCTTGGACCTGCGGGGCAACCCCCATCCTCTCATAGCTGAGGGTCACGTCCGCTTATTGGCCTGGACTCTTTCAGGGGAACCTGGAATGTTGACGACCTATCGCAGTCGGCTAGGAACCTCCTCTGGGACGAGGAGATGCTACTTATCCGCATTGGAACATTTGGTGTCGCTGGTGCCTGGAACGGAATACTGATCCCTTTACAGCCCTTGTTTCCAGTGTTTTGAACTTCTTGTCTCACTTGTTTGACCTGGGTCGGTCGTATCGTTTGGTTAACGTAGCCAGGTTGGCAATCTCTGCGGCTCATGTGCCTCTCTGGGGTTCCCCCATTGGTCAAGACCTGCTCATTTGCAGACTCCTCAGAGGCATCAGACTAGCGCGACCTCCGGCACCTAAGTACTACACCCTCTGGGATGTCCACACGGTCTTATCGTTTCTGCAGAGGTGGCTGGCTAATCAGGAGCTGTCCCTCCGACAGTTTTCAGCTAAATTTGCTCTCCTGCTTTGCCGCATCTCCTTTCGCCAGGTCTCCACATTCGGGGCGTTCGATGTCGAGGCGTTCTCCTTCTCACCAGAGGGGGTGACCTTCTCGGTGTCTAGACGTACCAAGTCGGACTTGACAGCTATCTTCTACCCTTATTTCCAGGATTCACCTAAACTCTGCGTGGTGTCAGCTCTGTCTCGTTATGTAGCGATTACGACTCCACTTCACCCTTCTCGTTCTGGGCAATTGCTGGTCTTCTACGTACGACCTCACAAATTGGTCTCTTCTACAACCTTGGTGTGATGGATCAGATGGTTGTTGTCTTTGGCAGACGTGGATTCATCTTTTGGAGCGCATTCGGTTAGGGGCACGGCGGCATCTGGCGCCCTTGTAGCTGGCGCGTTGCTTCAGGCCATCCTATGTTCCGCGGATTGGTCTCGAGAAGACACCTTCCGGCAATTTTATTTCAGACCGGCTGTTCATGCTTCGTTGGCCTTGTTGGCTGAGTGTTAAAACAGCAAATATGAAGCTTCCTGTCATGTTAGAAAGTTGGAAATTATGCCACTTTAGTGTACCTATAATCTTAATTTTATAAATGACAGGAGGCGAATATTTCTCTCCCAGTTTCTTCATCCTACCCTTGTTCTGTTTTGTCGGCTGAGGTGGGTATATCATGTAATTTTGCCATTTTGTGGGCTTACACTTCTGTCGTATATTTGTCTTTTGTATACTTCTGGAATGTTCGGGTGAAATTCCTGTTGATTTTGGTAATGTTTAACCTTTCTCTGGTTGGCTGCATGTTTTGATTCTGTTTATCTAGTTTTAGTTTAAAGTTTCATCTATGATACGACATTGGATTTCCTTCTTCGGATGACAATCATCAGTTGGATCCATTTTTCTTCCGAGAATACAGTTATATTGTTTTGTTTGTACCGTTGTTTATTTTGTCGCAACTTGAAAGAGGAAGTAGTTGGTTGGGAGGGGACTTTTATTGTACATTACTTTTTTCTGATTGGTATTTTCTCTCTGTGTTAATGTGCTGCTGTGGAGTTCCAGTAAAGAGAAACTTAAGCAAATATTCGCCTCCTGTCATTAATAAAATCAAGATTATAGGTACACTAAAGCTAGCATAATTTACAATTTCAAAGTACTGCAGTAATATGAACCACAATCTTGCAGTGATTCTAAATCCATAAATAAACAAGCAGAGCGACAAAAAAAATTTCAGTTTTGCATATTGTATGAAGCTTAATGCCGATTGCAGAACATCTACGCACAGTTTGGAGGTATGTGTTCTGAATTTTAATACTGTGTAGCCAATGGAAAACAATCAGAGCTGAATCTGTCTCTGCTTCAATGCATGTTTCGTAACTCCTCTCCAATTAGAAATGAGTGAACCTCCTGTGGTTTATTTAGCAAAACATGTATTAGAGATTGCTAAAGTTTTGGCAAAACCATGTTATCTATCTCATCAACCCGAATGGAGAATTTCATTTGTTTCAACACCATTGGTATTAAGTGCATGTATCGATTACCTGCATGGTTAGTAGGAAAGTTTATTGTATTGATTACCTACGTATGCATGTGCATCTGTTTATTGTTTGGTTTTGTAATAGTTTGTTTATCTCCCTGTATCTTGAAAATCTTTCTTATATAAAAAAAAAAAGTTAATTATCCTCAAAGAGATGAGACTCACATATTTGCAAAACAGTACAATTTTGTTTTGTTTGAATTTCAGAACACCCAGTTTGTGATATTGTACGGCCGCATTTTATATTACTCGTCTTGTTGGAAAGTTTCGAAAACTGCCGCTTTAGAAAATTAATACCAGAGGTCCAGAACTAGCCAACATAATACATATTGCTGAAACCCTGCAGCATCCTAATTGTTGTACCATGGCACAGAATTAAGGCGCAAATGTCCAATTTGCCCACGTACAGTGTCCGTCCCTTTGCCTACAGTGCCTAGTCACACCGATATTAATGACATTCTTCTTAACTCAGTCTTGGCTCTGACTTTCTTCCTCTCCTCACCTCACCTTATTTTTCAGTGTGACTGTTTGCATGTTGTGTGTGCCTGTAATGTGCAGATATTGCACTACCCGATATTTTGTTGTAGCCATCTTACTGCTATATAAAACCATACCCACATTCATTCCTATTGAGATTTCTAGGCAATTCCATCAATGAATTTCCACCTAATGGTCTCTTTTCTCTAAAAATCTATTTTTCAACCTTTCATCATCTGAGTCACTGAATACTTATATAAGTTTAAAGATAAAAATGAATAAAAACACGGATTAAAAATTGTATATACTTATTGCCGTTTTTATGGTTTATTGAAGCCATCTAATTCCCCTTTATTTCAAAACCAATGCTACCAAGAAAACTTAAAAGCCTTTGCATAATTTAATACATGTGCTATACCGCACCCCCCCCAATAAGGAATACTTTCTATTCTCTTGCAGATTAATTGCATGTTGTTGTTAAATAGGCATACTGCACCATGACACTTGCCATACGTTAAAACTATCCTCCAAACCTGTCTATCTACACAATATAATTGAAATCAATCATGCTGACGGCTGCACATGGACTAAAAATAAGAATTTTGCACAGAACTAGAAGCTGAATCTCCTTTGAACGTACATAGAACACATTTTCTAGAGAATATGCAAATACACTGTTTCAAAGGTCACACAGTGACTGGGATGGTTTTAGCATTTAGAAACTCAAAGTGATGCTGCAACTTGCATAGTGATTCAGCAGAGTTGTATCATGAATAAACAAATCCTTTTAAAACAAGTTGTGAAGAGAAGCAGAGAAACACAGAACACAAAGCAGGGATGGACAATATTATATATATAGTCATTTTCCTGTTAATCCAATGACGTAATACATGAAATATTTATTGGATGTAAGGAACTTTGCTTTTCTATGTTCTATTTTTATTAATATTTAAGACAAAGAGGCTTGGTGCAAATAGACACATCAGTTTTATATTGCTCAGGCAGCAACAAGATGCACCTATAGCCTCCAACAAATAAGCAGAAAAGTAAAAAATGAAGCACTTTAAGCCAGGGCTTGACAAATTTGCTTGGAATCTAGGAGCCAGCAAATAAAGTTAGGAGCCAGGCTTTTCAATCTCAAATATGCAATTCTTAAAGGGACGCTATAGTCACCAGAACCACTACAGCTTAACGTATACTATACAGCTTAATGTAGTTGTTCTTGTGTCTATAAACTGTCCCTGTACACTTTTCAATGTACAGGTACCTACGTTTAGCATCTCCAAAAATTAAGTGAAAGCCCCTTTGTGATTGGAGGGGTACCGGTCACCTAAACACACACTCACTCACTGACACACACACACCCACACACTGACAGACATACACACACACTGACAGATAGACACACACAGACAGACACACACACACAGACAGATACACATACTCACACAGACACACACTCACTCACAGACACACTTACTCAGACACTCACTCACTGACACACTCACTCATTGAGACACACACTCACACACATTAATGTGACCACCCAGCCTCCCTACCTTTTGGGAGAGCTTGAGTGGATTGGCTTTCCCTGTGGTCCAGTGGGGCTTCAGTCATCTCCCTGCTCTGCTCCATAAAACGCTGTTTAGTGATGCCGGGAATGACGTCATATACCGGCTCCCGGCATCACTAGAGGGCGCGCGAAGGAGCAGAGAAGGGAGGTTACAGCTCCCTTGCGCGCCTGCCCATATGGCTAAATCTTCCACGAGCCTCCCTCTCCCTCAGCTGTCCGGCCAACAGTGAGCACTTCCTGTCAGTAAGGCCGGGTACAGATAACAGAAGCTCCTGTAACATGGACCGGAGAGGAGCTCAGCCATGCTACACAGGGAAGGGAAGGTGAGGAGAACATGTTGGGGGGTGAGAGTCCACTACGGGAGAGGGGGTGAGGAGAAAGGGGGGTTTAGGAGAACGAAGGAGGGTGAGGAGAACGTCCACTAAGGGAGGGGGGTGTTGAGGAAAATGTGGGAGGAGGGTGAGGATAATGGGGGAGGGACAGGGAAAAGTCCACTAAGGGAGGGAAGGGTGTGTGTAAAAGAACGTGGGAGGGAGGGGGTGAGGAGAACTTGGGGGTTGAGGAGAACATGGTGGAGGGGCCACTAAGGGAGGCGAGGGGCTGGTGGAGAGACCACTAGAGGAGGGGGTGAGGAGAAATCACTAAAGTAGGGTGGGGGAGAGCAGAGACCACTAAGGGAGGGAGGTGGTGAAGAGAACGTGGGAGGGAGGGTGAGGAGAATAGGGCCGAGGTCCACTAAAGGAGGGGGGGGAGAACGTGGGTGGGGAGAGACCACTAAGGGAGGGAGGGGTGGTGGAAACACCACTAGGGCAGGGTGGGTGAGGAAAGACCACTAAGGGAGGGTGGGGGGAGAGCAGAGACCACTAAGGGAGGCAGGGGGTGGAGGAGAGACCACTAGGGAGGTGTGGGGAGAGGAGAGACCACTAAGGGTGGGGAGGAGGGAGGAGAGCACTAATGGAAAGGGGGGGGAAGAGAGGAGAGACCACTAATGAAAAGGGGGGGGAGGTGAGATGACTAATGGAAAGGGGGGGAGGAGAGACCACTAGGGAGGGCAGAGGAGAGCAGAGACCACTAAGGGGGAGACAAGAGACCACTAATGGAAAGTCGGGGAGAAGAGGAGAGACCACTAAGGGACAGGGGAGAAGTGGAGAGACCACTAAGGGGCAGGGGAGAGCTCTAAGGGATGGATTGGACACAAACACAATGCAACCCTTACACACAAAAACAATGCATCCTTTGCGCACATACATAGAAACACAAAATGCATCCCTTACACGCACATGCAAACACACACTGCTTCTCTTGCACACACACAGAAACACAATGCATCTCTTACACACACTCAATGTACCCCTTACAGACACACACACTGCATCCCTTACACACACAGAAACACACTTTGCATCCCTTATGCTTCCCGTTCTCCTAGAACATTGATTTTTGTGACCACAGTTGCAAACAGCCTCCAGACATCCTGTTCTTCACCAGACCAGTGGAGCCAAACTGCATCATCATCCCCATCTGGTTGTAAATAGGCAATCTAGTATATTATCAGTGACACTAATCTCTAATTTACCTCACATGAAAGGGACACTATAGTCCCCAGAACCACTGCAGCTTAATGAAGTGGTTCTGGTGTCTATAGCCTGTCTCTAAAGGCTTTTTAATGTAAACACACACTGTGTGCAGCACTGGCGTTAGTTAATATGGCAGATCATATGGGTGGGGCATTGTGATGTCATATTGGAGGGGAGGGGGGTGCAGATTTTTCTTTTGCCTAGGGCGGCAAAAATCTTTGCACCGGCCCTGTGTACAATGTATTGATAATTACACCAATTAAAGGACAAATGAGCTCTGTAACTAAAAAATAACAAGCAGAATTGACAAGAAGGATTAATACACATATGTGAAATACCATTCAGAGATAACTTAGAGACTAATAAACATTATATGGAACATAACAGGTTAATGATATAACTGTCACCTATGAGAATCATCAATGCACTTGTTGTCTATAATCTTCAACCTGAAATGGAATTAAAAATTGCTTGTGCTGCCAATTAGTTCTGTGTTTAATATTGTGATATTGTCCTTTTGATTGATCTATGATTAATTATGAAATAATGGCTTTGTCCTGGTTTTAGACAACTGTTTTCTATTATTAGTGACATTACTGGTTAACAAAAGATTTGCGAATTTCGGATTGTGATTGCTTTGATAACTGTTGCACAATACCAACGCAAAGAAGCAGGATGCAGGTGAGAGGTAGGTAAAGGGGCTGGCCAGTGATGTGATTGCATTGTTGGCTCTGCCCGAATGGGGGCTGTCGAGATTGGAAAGGAGGCAGACCTGTTCAGTTTACTTGCAGGTTAGCCTGGCTGCTTGCCTATTATCTAATGCCAGTCCCTGCAGCGATGACAAGATAAGACCTGAAAATTGGGACTGTATCGCCATTATTGGGATGGTTGGGAGGCATATGATACCTAGTGAAAGTAAAAAAAATCTTACGGATTGATTACCGAGGCCTAATTATAATGTGAGCCTATTTGTGCTGAATTACATGTATCAGTTCTTCTTAGCTAAGAAAAAACAACAGCATGTTCCAACTGTAACCCTTAATAAAATAGGGGTATCTAATGCATGTACCATTTCCTGCCACCAGATAGAACAAGGAAAAAACTTATAGTTGAAAACCAAGAAACCTGGGGTGTATGTCCAAGTTGCAGCGTACTGTGACAGATAGGTATATTATTTACTGCCAACAGAGAAACAGCGTTTTTTGCTATCCATTACTTGCAAATGTGACAACAGTCATGTGCTTTTAATTGCTGCAAGTGGGAAGAATCATTGTAATATCTCACTCAATGTCAAGTGGATAAACAGATGCTTGTAAAATTTTCTGTAAACAAAGAAGGTGCTCCTAGCTAGAAGACAGATGGGTATTAGAGAAGCAACAATAGCCAAGGCTCCATTCCATTTTGCATTTGTATTATTATTTATTTAATATAATTTATAGTAAAAAAAAAGCTGCATAACAACATGGCACAACGTGTAAATATTAATCCAGTTTTAATTGTTCTAGCTATTGTCGTTGTTCTGTAGCAGTATTTGTCACAATATTATGCTTGAAGTTTAATTTGAAACGATGTTGGGCCCTAAAGAGGCCCCCTCCTTATTTTGTGACATCTGCAATCATAAAGGTAAATATTATAAATAGCTATATTGAATACACAAAATGATACAGTTATATTATAATAATCACATTCACATTGCATATTGACGACTCGGTAGTGCTCATGGTATATGACAGGCACTGCAATACAAGACTTTGCCCCCCAGTTACCATGTGGCCCTTGCTGTATGATCCCAGTCCTGGCTGCATTACAATGTAATGTCCATTGATATCACATGTGTCAGCACAAATTATCCACTTAAATGTAGTTGCATGATGCTTCTTACTGACAGCCCAAATAATTTAAAGGTGAAAACACTAAGGGGAAGCAACAGAGGATTAAATGTGTAAAAGGGACTTAGAGCATAGAAAAGTAAATAATAAAAAAAATATATACAAAATATATAAAAACGCACAAGGAAGAGAGAGATAGAGGGAGGGTAAAAAAGAGAGGACAATATTGGAAGTGAAAAAAAGTGGGGGTTACAAATGCAGGACAAGGGACTCCAAAATAGAGAACAAGTAATGTCAACGCCCATAAATGGGAAAGAGGAGACAAATAAGCAAGGGAACTGAGGAGATAGAACAAAAAAAAGACATCAGGCAAAAGTAAGGGAGGAAAAAAAGCAAAGTGAACAATACACAAACACAAGATAAGAGAACAAAAAGGACAGACAAAATACAAAACTTACAAGAGAGGATAGCGAGGCGAATACTTACACTGAGCACTAACGAGTAGGAGGAAATGGAACAGGGCCATCCATAAATTTTGTGTAGTAACAGAGCAAAACAATAATAAGCAACAAACTACGCACCGAATCACACTAAATTACAAAACTGCGTGGAAAAGCCCAAGGCAGGGGGTGAATTCATGGGTTCACTCTGTTTTGGACCCTGTATTTTTCAAAGTTTGGCTCTGCTGAAAACCATGCTTGAAAACCCACGCATTCATTTTCATAAATCATCATTTGAAGAACACAACCTTTCCGACTACAATCCATATTATCCTTGGTCATATAACAGCTTATCATGATGGGAGTTTTACTCTAAAAACTGGATTAGATGCACCGCTTAGACAGTCCTACCCCAAGGGAATGATTTATACATGCATGCAAAGACTTAACTAGAATAATCTGCCACGAAGGTGCGTATGATGGAACAGAATAAAATTTGCATTTATATAGCTGTGCCGAGTTAGGATGCACCTCGGGTAGTTAAGGTGTTGCACTTTGTTTAGCACAATAAGCAGAGTTTTGCTTTAATCATACTGTGCTGGGGTGGCTCGTAATGTTAATGTCTGGTAGTTAGACTGTAAGGGTCATTTGATCCCTCCTACTCACAGAGAAGGGCGATGTGCAGCCTGTGCACGGTCATTACATCAGTAATGAGCCCAGGCAGATTGAGCAGTCATGACAAATGACACGATCAGGCCATCAGAAGCATTCTGGATTATTGCTTCAACTAGCTGAAGCGGACGGATTCCAGAGCTCTGCTGAGAGGCAGCTTTGTCAAACAGAGAGGCAAGCGGAGCTGTTAAATTAGAATTTATTGTGATTTGCAAAGAGGAGGGAGAAAAAAAATAGATATTTATAGTGCCAGCGATGCTGATGAAATGATTCATTGCTAATTTATACAGGAAGAATATTAATTAACCCCTTGCTTACACATTAAAGATATTATGTATTCTGAAAGTCTGCCGGAATGGCGATTAAGGTATAGTTGCTGTTTCTTCCACCCCTTTCCCAAACCTTTGGAAAATATAGAATATTTGGAAAGATGTGAGTTAATTAGGTATATTTTAAGACTGCACTGCGTTTTGTCAAAGGCTGTTGGAGGCTGGTAACGCCTGTCTGTTTGTGGCCTGTAGAGGGAGCTCTTCACCCGCATGTTTTGCAGTTATTTGGGCTTTAGACTCCACACTACACGTTGCACCTGCTCCTGGACCACAAACTGAAACTGTTTCTAATGTTAACAGTTTCTGCTGCGTCTCCTAATCTCTTCATTAGGTTTTTTCCTACGCCAGTGGTGTAGTAGATAAGAGCGGAAATCACTGTGCTTGTTGAAGAGAATGAAAGAATCAGGGTACAAGGCTAGTAGGTAAAAAACATATGAACCATTGGAGTTCCAAAAATGAAACTCTGCTCAGTTTTTACATCTTACGGGTTCCTGCATTTTTTTATTTATATATCCTCCCGGACATACCAGGCATGGCGAGTAAATTAGTTTAACCCTCATACTACTGTATAAATGGAACACACGCACACATACAGTGCAGCTTTTTTCATTTGTTTAAATGCCTGAGCATGCCTGAGGCATCTGGATGCGAAAAATCCATCCGCAGTTAGAAATGCAGTTTACTTAAAGGGACATATCAGGCACCATAACAACTGCATCTAAATTAAATTGTTATGGTGCCAGGATGCCCCTGTAGGCAGTCGAACGGTTTAAGCCCAAAGTTGCTTCCAGCTGCGATGTCCACTTCCCCCATGAGGCATCTGGCTTCTGAATTTTCAGATTCAGGAAGCGTGGAGTGCCACCAGGCAGGGGCACCGCTGATTGGTTGAGAGTGGTCAACTGATGCTCTCTGCCAATCAGTAACTCCCCATTCACTAAACTGGCTTGGAAAAGGACAATTGAAAAGGACAATTGACTTCCAGCATGGAACCCTGTTCTTGACTGCCTAGTTTGAGTTCTGTGCAAAAAATACATTCATCGTCCCTTGGAGACAGTCCTGTAATGGTGAAGCTTCCCCCTGCCTCCATTTATTCTGCTTCCTTGTGTCCAACCCCTACTCTCTGGGCAGTCTTCTGTCCCTTCCACCTTCCCCTTGGGATTGGAAGTTTGGTGGGTTTTAGTGGTGAGATGAGCTGTCACTCAGCTCATCTCACCACTCATGGATGCATATGTGCAGTGAAGCATTCACTGCTTCAGACAGAGAAGCATTAGAGCCAAAGCTTTTCAATCAATCAGAAGACCTGATTGGTGGATTGCAGCGCATGCGCTCGAGGTATAATAATGTATCTCTGTGAGAAGCATTTGATTGGACTTCTGAGAGGAAAATAGTGATGCAGCATGATGATGTAAAAGGCACTTGGCCTGGCTTCAAAGCAAGTAACAATTTCTTAATAGGGTATTATAAAAGACACTAACAAAATATGGATAAAGGGTTGGAGAAACCCTTTAACTATGTGCAGAAGAGAGGAAGCATGGGGCATTCTGAAATGTAGATTTTTTTGGTTTAAGCTAGCCCCTGCTTGCGTATTGTTAAGAGACATAAAAAAACAAAACGTGTTTTAAGATCCATTTCTTTTTGTTTTGTATGGAAGGGTAGCTAAGGGCAGGGCGCAAAGATTAAACAGGTACGGTTTACATAATAATTTGAAGAAACATTTGCAACCATTTAAACCACTATTCCATAAAGCATGGCACTTGTTCATTATCTTATGTCAATTTTTTAGAAGAAGAGGTTAATTATCCTGAGCCTACTACAGGTGGGGAGGGGCTGTTATCATAGGGGCTGCAGTAAGAATCAGATGCCTTACTAGAGGGATAGCTTAAAACAATTTGACCCTTAAGGACCAAACTTCTGGAATAAAAGGTAATCATGACATGTCACACGTCCTTAAGGGGTTAAGTAGATTTGTTTTAAACTATGATTGCTGCAAACTGGGTGTTCTTCATATTTGGCTGCTGTAGGTCCGTATCTGTTACAGAACAATGATAGTCCCTCGCTTTGCAAGTATATTGGAATGTTAACCCATCAGAGCAAAAAACTGTACTCATTACTAAAGGTCAATGGACTGTTATTGCAAAGATTGTCTAGTACTCACAAACTGCCCGGTTCCTATTTTGATTATTTTAATTAGTATTCTATGTATTAAACAACTGATAATTTATGATATTGTGCTGCTGTCTCTCTCATACATCTAACATATTACAAAACACTTCTGGAATTCAGTATCAAATGTTAGAAATCACAGTAAAACAGTAATCTGACAAGTCCGAATGGCCCCGTACCAAATTCAGACTGCAAAATCCATTCCCAGGCAAGTAAACCAATCCGGAATTCTGACCTCATTCTAAACGGAGTCCTGAAGGGGCTCAAATTGATTTTTTTTTTTCTTATATTACATTTTTGTTTTTGTCAATTTTTCGTTTGCGATTCAGGCCTTTCATTTTTTCGATAGTAGCTTTGGGTCATTATGGATTTGGTTTTGGCTTTTAGTGGGGCTGAAAAAAAGAAGACTTTGAAGAAAGAAGGCATCTGGTGGTAAGCATTACAGGCATTAGTGTTATTGACCCCTCTAATATTAGGGTGAGATGGGTAGGTAAGTTAATTTTAGTGTAATAAAGGTAGCTAAGGGCTCGGGGACACCTAGCCAGGGACCCACCTGGCAGGTGGGGAGTAACGGACAATTGATCACCTCCAACTTGTATTTTTAATTAGAGCTCCTAACAAATAACAAGGGAATAGGTAAATTCTTTTAAACCACAACTGTAGTGTTCATTTGTCATGAATGGGGTTAATAATGTTGCCATTAATCCACTTACTCCCAACATGCATACAGCAATGCAGCAAAATCTGGGTATGTTATGGGTTTAGATGTTATTTCAAGAAAAGGTAGTGTTTTCAAACTATATTACACGTGGGCCATCTGTACATGCTCACAATTTACTTTCAGTGCCCTATGCAAAATCATTGATAAACCGATTAAAGGAACACTATAGGATATGAAATGAAGTGGTCTGGGTGCCTATAGTGTCCCTTTAAAGTGAACCCAGCACCCAGCAGCACTCTGCATAGCACTAAGATACATATGCTGAATGTGTGAAAATGTTAACCCCCCCAGGTGACTGGGGGATTTTAGAAAAAACAAGGCATCAAATGGTAAATTATGTTTTATTTACAGGGATTTAGTTTTATTGTTTCTCACTATTTTTGGAGTGAGGGGGGTAGGCAGGAGTTTATTATTTTTTTCTTGGGTGGGACAATAGGCCCCACCCCATTTTTATTTAGGGCCCCCACCCACCGTTTAGGGGTGGGGGCCATGCGGGAGGACAATAGGTTCCCCCTCTTATTGTTATTTAGAGCCTCCACCTGCCGTTTAGGGGTTTGGCCGGGGGGGGAGGGAGGACAATAGCCCCCCTTATTGTTATTTAGGGCCTCCTGCCACTCTGGGGTGGGGGAGAGGACAAAAGTTCCCCCCTTATTGTTATTTAGGGCCCCCACCTGCCGCTCATGGGTGGGGGCCAGGGGGAGGACAATAGGCCCCCCTTATTGTTATTTAGGGTCCCCCACGCTCAGGTGTGGGGCGGGGAAGAAGACAAAAGGTCCCCCAGGGTAGTTAAGAGATGCCCCATCATGGGGCCATTTATCGAGGGGGAGGGGGTGGGGTTATTTATTTATTTAATTTTTTTAAACCGTGAGCAGCCATAGGTTGCCCCTACTCGCGATATAGTGAGTAGGGGCAGAATTTACTAATACTAAGTAATTTTCACTTAGTATTAGTAAATTTGGCTGAAAGACCAATTTCAGTCTTTCGCCCTTTTGGTATATAGCTCCCTATTACCCTGGGAATTAGGGAGCTATCTACTAAGCGGCTGCAAGATGCAGCCGCAGCACGAATAGGATCGGAGTTTCATTCAGTCTAATGAAATTCCGATCCGAACAAAGTCCTGAATTGCGTCCTAACATGAATGAACAAACTGTTTTCATTCTGTTAGGACGAAAATTCAGTGGTTTCGCTGGCGTTCTGTCTAAGTGACAGGACGTTCGGGAATACTGAGAGGAAGCATTGCGAGATCACGGATCAAAGGTGGAAATTGTAGGAAAATTGCTCTGACCACAGTAAATGAAGCACACGTTGCTCCTCCGCTGGCCATACCTGGTCAGACATAGGAAACCTCCATAAGACGAAGTAGTCCCTACTTTGTCTTATGTTTTAAAGAAAAATAGAGCAGACAGGAAGATATGAAGAACAGATCCTGAGAGAGGGAGAGAAGAGGAATCGATTAAAGAAAGGTAAGTTCGGCATGACAGTGCCGCTTTTAAGCAGAACTGTCCACCCCCTCCTGCAAAATTAGTATTTAATAAAGATAAAAAAAAGATAAAGTTTAAAAAAATGTGTTGTAATCTAACTAAAATTCCAACCCAGTCAAAAGATAAACTGAGACAAAGTAGGGACGATGTTGTCTCATTATTTCTCTTAAATTTCATACTTCTTGACACTGGGTGGAGCTACTGCTCTCAAGAAATGTCAGGCTCCGAGCTGTGGTGCAGACCTCAATGCTGTACTCTCATGCATGCGCAAGAGCACTGCAGTGACATCGGCTCCTGGCAGTTTAGGCACCAGGGGCAGAAGAGGACTGTCCAGAAGAGGATGGAGATGTTAGCGAGGAACAGGTTCAGGTAAGTTAAACTCACCTTTCCCTGCCCCCCCAGCCACTGGACTCCCAGCGGTGATGTCACAGTTGCGGCCCTTTGTAAGTTATGCAAAGTCCCCAGACGGTGACAATTCCACTTTGAGACAATTTTCAAACACACATTTTCCTCCAAAACACACTTGTTCCAGAGAACCTTCTATCATCCCTGGATGTAATGTAGTACACATTACCTCCTAACATTTTTTTTTTTTTACAAACATTATTATTATTATTATTATATTTATATAGTGCCAACAAGTTCCGTAGTGCTGTACAATGGGTGGACTAACAAACATGTAATTGTAACCAGACAAGTTTGACACACAGGAACAGAGGGATTGAGGGCGGGGCTAAATTGTGTTTTTTTAACACTATTGGGTCAGGAATACATATTTATGTTCCTGAACCTATAGTGTTCTGTTAATATTATTATTATCAATTATATAGCGCCAACGTATTGCAGAGTTCTTTACCATATATAGAGGGATTATAAAATAAACAGCATGGCGTTGCAAGGTTCGAGAAATACATGGAGCCCAGAGGAAAACTTTGTGACACCTACACTGACAAAGAGGTAGGGATATATTAGAACATATCCCTGTGTTTCTATGTTATGTCCTGTCCACTAAACCCATACAGGACATGCTGATGATGCTCCCTGGAATCTCATTGACAGCATAGCTTGAAACAAGCACATGCAACATAGCCAGCTATTCAGTGCAATCCTGGTAAGCTACATAAAGAATGGATTGGTGGGCCACAAAGTTCTGTAGCCTAGCACCTTTTCCTGACAGTCACCTGGGAGACACAAGCCATTCCACCCTAAGTGGCATGGCGGAGGACTATTCTAATAATCTTTTTTTCTATAACAGGTGGATGCATTAAAAAGCAGCTGCCCGATTTAAAATTAAATATAAAAAAGCAACACTATTATTATCCACCTGCTCCCCCACCAACTGTGGAGAACCAATTGTAAACAGCCCCATCCGGAGCTTCAGTCCCCAATGCCCCTGACAAGCAACTCCTATGACAGGCAAAGGCATCCTTTGGTACTCCAGATGTTTTGGACTACACCTCCCATGATGCTTTGCCAGCATTATGGGTATAACATTATGGGGGATATAGATCACAATATCTGGAGTGCCATAGGTTGCCTATCCCTGTCCTATGATAACAAGTAGTAATATAAAAACCTTTTAGAAAAAGTTGAAGAGGGTCTTGCTGAAATTAGAATTCTATCTATCTATCTAATCTGAGACATGCATACACTAAATTAGTATTAAAAAAAATGCAGATTGTATTATTTAATTTTGGGAGAAACCTGAAGCACTCTCTGGAAGTATAAGAATAAAAAACAAAAACAAAATGTAGATCACTAGACTCTAATCAGTGTTCAGATTCAGTTTCCTAAAATAAAGACAATTTATGTCTATTAATGAAAGGGGGTAAATTATCCTTAGGATGATATTATTTCAGAGAAGAAATAGCCTCCTCGAGAACGATGTGTATCTTGTAATTCTAGAGGTAGTACTGCCACAGATAATAATATTAATTACTGGTCTTTGTGTTGTGACTGCTTGTCACGTCTTGTTCAGGAACCAGTTTTTCAATCAAATTCACATGAAACGATGGAAACTTGATGGTACATTATTAAATGTCAGAGGCTTATTCAAAAGAAAATTAATTTAAAAAACATATACCCTCAATGACAGGAAATGAAGAATTTACAGTTTATACTATATTCAATTTATTTGCACAAAAATCTATTGCTGATCTATAAATCAAAGTGTACCTGCTACCGATGACACTGATGGGGTTAAAAAGTCTTGAAGACACCAAATGTTACTGTTGATATAGTTGTCTAAATAAACGGATCAAATTTGAAAGGTACTGCTGGAGAACGGTATTGTATGATTTGAATAAATAATTTTCTTACTTGCACCTGGGTAAAGGTTTAGGACAGGGGTAGTCAACCTTTTAATACCAACCGCCCACTTTTGTATCTTTGATGATGGTAAAATTTCCTTACCACCCACCAGTGACGAGGTAACTAATTTTATAGCGCAAGTGCAACTTTTTAAAAATGTATTTTCCCTTTTTTATATTTTCTATTTTTTTTCTATACTTTTTTCTATGTGTCTGTGAGGTGCTGTGTGTGTGAAGGGTGCAGTGTGTGCGTGAGAGGTGCAGTGTGTGTATGAAGGGGCGGTGGGTGGGTAAATTATGGGGTGGCAGTGCAGGTGTGAGGGGTGTAGTGTGTGTGAAGGGTGTGAAGGGTGCATAGGGTCTATGCTGTGTGTAGGTGGGTGAGATATGAAAATCTATCTTAATGTCTCCCCCCTCCCTTCTTCTTAGATTTTACCGGGGGGGAGACATATGCCCAAGGGGGCTTACAGCAAAGCTGGCTCTACTTGGGCCGGCAGTGGAGATGAAAGGATCCCCCCTACCGTCCTTGGTCCATGGCCATCGAGGCCCACTGGGTGTTCTCTGCAGAACCCACTACCACCCACCTGAAATCCCAAACTGCCCACTAGTGGGCAGTAGGGACCAGGTTGACTACCCCTGGTTTAGGGTGTTATAAACTACTGGATCCCACCCCAGTTCTCAGGGCACACCAACAGTCCATAATCTAGCCATTTCTCAAAATGTTGACGTTTTGTGTTCTTTCTGGACTTTTTTTGAAACCACAGTTGAAAACCGTGTGATGACATTTTTTTATTAAAAAAAAATTTCACATAAGTAAAATTACTTTTGCTTATACACATCAAAAACAATGAAAGGATCCTTAAAACTCAGCAAATTCCATTCATTAGTAATTTATTCTTCATTATACGAATGCATTTATTCATTGCGCAAATCATTTAGAGTCCTTGTATACATAAAACTACATAATAAAAGATTCATATGCTGATTTCCTGATTAGGCTTTTACTAAATAAACTAATAAAGAATAAAGAAAGCAAACAAAACACAAGTGTATAGTCTACATTTTATAGATATACATTTGCAATGATATGTATCTCTCCAGCCGGTCAGCTGGGTTTATATATGAATGATACAATGCCGCAAGGGGTAATGTAATTTCCTACTTCTCCCCAAATTTGTGTATAAAGAGTAAATAATGGCTGCTAAGTATACTCAATCAAATAATAACAGTGATGGCATGCACTCTGAAAATTCTATTACAGACGTTGGAAGAGATAAAAAGGTATGATTAAGGCAATACGTTGCATGTATTAACAAAGCATTAGGGCAGGGGTAGGCAACCTTCGGCACTCCAGATGTTGTGGACTACATCTACCATAAGGCAGTTGTGTTTTGTTTTCTGGTTGTTGCAATGCAATCTGCATTAAATTATCTTTATCATGATATATCATTTGATGGTATTATTCTAAAAAAGACTAATGTTATGAGCCTCCGTAATAGACATTTTCCAAAAGGTTCCCACAATTTTGGCCATAAGTGTATAAAAACATAATGTAAGGACTGAAGGTGGAGGTATCATAAATTGAGGCGTTGGAGTCGAAGGTTTTGTGTACCGACTTCACAGCCCTCGAAAATTAATTCAGTACCAGTAGTTACCAAGTGCTTTGCAGCAAGCAGGCCGTTTCTTGGTGTAGCTCGAAATATGTTTCTATTTGAAGAAACCATTCACGTATCATAGACTGAGCAGCAAGTTTCTTTGGCAACGAGGTTAAAGTTAGCTCAAAGATGGCAGCTTAGCTGACACATAGAATATGAAAGTACAGGGAGTGCAGAATTATTAGGCAAATGAGTATTTTGACCACATCATCCTCTTTATGCATGGTGTCTTACTCCAAGCTGTATAGGCTCGAAAGCCTACTACCAATTAAGCATATTAGGTGATGTGCATCTCTGTAATGAGAAGGGGTGTGGTCTAATGACATCAACACCCTATATCAGGTGTGCATAATTATTAGGCAACTTCCTTTCCTTTGGCAAAATGGGTCAAAAGAAGGACTTGACAGGCTCAGAAAAGTCAAAAATAGTGAGATATCTTGCAGAGGGATGCAGCACTCTTAAAATTGCAAAGCTTCTGAAGCGTGATCATCGAACAATCAAGCGTTTCATTCAAAATAGTCAACAGGGTCACAAGAAGCGTGTGGAAAAACCAAGGCGCAAAATAACTGCCCATGAACTGAGAAAAGTCAAGCGTGCAGCTGCCACGATGCCACTTGCCACCAGTTTGGCCATATTTCAGAGCTGCAACATCACTGGAGTGCCCAAAAGCACAAGGTGTGCAATACTCAGAGACATGGCCAAGGTAAGAAAGGCTGAAAGACGACCACCACTGAACAAGACACACAAGCTGAAACGTCAAGACTGGGCCAAGAAATATCTCAAGACTGATTTTTCTAAGGTTTTATGGACTGATGAAATGAGAGTGAGTCTTGATGGGCCAGATGGATGGGCCCGTGGCTGGATTGGTAAAGGGCAGAGAGCTCCAGTCCGACTCAGACGCCAGCAAGGTGGAGGTGGAGTACTGGTTTGGGCTGGTATCATCAAAGATGAGCTTGTGGGGCCTTTTCGGGTTGAGGATGGAGTCAAGCTCAACTCCCAGTCCTACTGCCAGTTCCTGGAAGACACCTTCTTCAAGCAGTGGTACAGGAAGAAGTCTGCATCCTTCAAGAAAAACATGATTTTCATGCAGGACAATGCTCCATCACACGCGTCCAAGTACTCCACAGCGTGGCTGGCAAGAAAGGGTATAAAAGAAGAAAATCTAATGACATGGCCTCCTTGTTCACCTGATCTGAACCCCATTGAGAACCTGTGGTCCATCATCAAATGTGAGATTTACAAGGAGGGAAAACAGTACACCTCTCTGAACAGTGTCTGGGAGGCTGTGGTTGCTGCTGCACGCAATGTTGATGGTGAACAGATCAAAACACTGACAGAATCCATGGATGGCAGGCTTTTGAGTGTCCTTGCAAAGAAAGGTGGCTATATTGGTCACTGATTTGTTTTTGTTTTGTTTTTGAATGTCAGAAATGTATATTTGTGAATGTTGAGATGTTATATTGGTTTCACTGGTAATAATAAATAATTGAAATGGGTATATATTTGTTTTTTGTTAAGTTGCCTAATAATTATGCACAGTAATAGTCACCTGCACACACAGATATCCCCCTAACATAGCTATAACTAAAAACAAACTAAAAACTACTTCCAAAAATATTCAGCTTTGATATTAATGAGTTTTTTGGGTTCATTGAGAACATGGTTGTTGTTCAATAATAAAATTAATCCTCAAAAATACAACTTGCCTAATAATTCTGCACTCCCTGTAAATACATGAGAAGAACCTTAGCTGGTAGCTTTCATAACATATGTGTGTTACGTGCCACACCAGTTATTCTTTAGGACAATGCTCAGTGCATATGTGTGAGTACAGCAATCGGCAACAATCTATGTATTGCATATTGGATAAATCATTGTCATATAAGGAGTTATTTGTATATCCTCCCTGAACTTTAATTCTCATTGCTACTTCTACTAAATTGGGAACTTTTCTGTAGTACTATATATAGACTAATTTCTTCTTCTGTGGCACGATAATGTCTTCTTGTCCAGTGTAGACTTTATTTAGGTAGTCTCTCTGAACTCAGTTGATATTGGTTTAGACTAGGTTCAAGGACGAATCCATCTCTGGAAAAGGTAGCACTTGGATTGAAAAGCCTGCAGGGACATGCTATGGACACCAGAACCACCGCATTAAGCTGTAGTGGTTCTGGTGACTTTAGTGTCCCTTTAAAACTAATGTTGCTTTTTCTGAAATCACTAAAGTGAGCTATAATTTGCGCCACAGCTTTCAGAGTTCTAAGCACAGTAATCATGTCATTATACTTATCTCACGGCCTGCTCAGAAGATATGGTGGTTATTGTGTGATCTGGGGGTGGGGGAGAACATAACTCAGAGGTCTGTGCCAGGCATTATATGGCATTTAAAAAAAAATAATGTTATATACAGGCTTTAACATGCTATAAATAGGGTGTATGTCTCAAAATACTTGATTTTTTCATGATTCCATTGAAGAGTCTCAAGTATGTGTAAAATATTGATTTTTGCAGTACAAAACGGAAGTGATTCTGCAGCAAAGTATTACATTTTCAATAGTCACCACAGAAATGTGTTTTTTTCCTGGTCCATGTGACCTGACTGTTGTACATTAATCATTCCTCATTCCCAGCTCAAGGGTTTATTTGCTTTTCCTAAATGAAGAGATAATCCCAGAAAGTTTATGATACAGCCTTGCCCACATGCCCACTACCATGAAAGCCTCCATGTAAGAGCCTGTTTTAAAAGACAGTCTGTAGATCCTTCAGAGGGCTGGGCAAATGCATTTCTCCTCCTAAGGCATCTGTTGAGAATTGACAAAGTTTTAGATCCTCAGAATGTCCACTGACCTCGATATATGCAGCGATGTAATGATTTAGCGCATGTACTGGTCTCAACAAGATTTCAAGACCATACTCAATAAAGTTCATAGCAAAACAGAGGGAACAATATCAACGGAAAATGTAACAGAGGAGTAAAAACATGTATTTGAGGTACTGACAATTAAAAACTATAGTGTCTAAAAGTAACACGATTTATAAAGAAGCATTGAACAGTTATATAATTTCACATACGATTGGAGAATTGGTTTCACCATACATGAAGTACTTGCAGATGCCATTATAAATGACTAGGTTGCTTAATAGCGTGTGCTTAATATGGTTGAATCAAAGTGACCGGCACTAATACTCATTTCATATTTTTACTTTTATTAAAATTGCGCAGTGGGATGTGAGCACGTTCATGGCTACCGCTTAGCATTCTGGGTTTGAGTTACAAGTTACCTGTCAGGATCCTATCCTGACAACCAAAATTATGTTTTTTTTAAATGCCGTTTTATTTTCTACAATTACAGTTTTCCACCACTAGTGACCTCCCTAGCCACTAGTCTAACCTCAGTTACTCTTACCTGCATAGCAAGATCATTAAATCTGCTATAAGAGGCCACACCATGCTAAAGCAATTTGCCTTTACATTGATTGGAGTTTATATTCTGATCCTGACAAGACTTCTGATCCTGGCTCGTACTGAGAAAACCTGCACTACTCTGAATACCATTGAACCAACCTAATTTATACTACCAACCTGCTTGCTATCAATACGCTTGGGGAAAAACCTGATCTTCAATACCTGCTTTATTCGATACTGGACTTTGATTCCTTATTGCTTTGGTTCTAACCTACTGTACACCTACCGGAAACTACGTAACCTACCTGGATATTACAAACCAACGAGGCTGGTCACCTTAATGTCTAAACTAACCTCTATTGCTTAATCCTTTATATTTCTGTTTAGTTCTGTTTAGTTGTATTTTGTCTACCTGGAACCTATAGTTTCATTTATAGGTTTTCTTTATCTTGATTCACCTATAATCTCACTTATAGGTTTTCCTGCTACCTTAACCCTTTAAGGACCAAACTTCTGGAATAAAAGTGAACATGTCATGTGTCCTTAAGGGGTTAAACCTGTCTGGGGCATATTGCCTAACTCTTGTTTTCTATTATCTCTCCTTATACTTACCTATAATTTTGTTTATAGGTTCTGCTTCTTACTATTGCCTATAATTTCATTTATAGGTTTTCCTGCCACTTTATCTGGGCATTATTGTCTAAACCCTTTATTTTATAGGCCTCAATATACTTACCTGTAATTTCATTTTATAGGTTCTACTTTCTCCATTTTGTCTTTATTATTTCCACTTCCCTTTAAGTCATGCTACTCTTATTATTTCAAGACTAACCATGTCAAAGCTTTCTAATAAAGAACCTAAAGTTAACCCCGGTATAAGTCTCTTATCTGACCTGATCAGAACCATGGCATTACCGCGGGACGTGTGTTGTCGAAAATGCATCAAGTGGAACAGGCATATATTCTATGCCTGCTTATAGTTCCATAATTATGGCAGCCATTTAGGGTACAGAGGGGAAGTTGTTTTTACACACCTAGAAATACTACCTGTTAGCTCACCTGTTGTTTAAAGTAGCAATCTTTCTATAAAGACTGGAATCCATTAATCTGTGCACACTCCGTATAACTTACGCAACATTTCCTGAGCATGTGCTTTAATAGGGTAAAAGCCTTGTGATATTACAACCGTTTCTACTAGTCTCCTTTAACATCTTGTATTCCAACATGATTAAAATGGCACTTGAATAGCCTTGGCACTGGCCCCCAGGTCTGCATCAAATTATTTTCATGTAATCTGACATAAAGTAAGTGGCTTTACATATTGCCATGCAGAAATGTAAGTTCAATATTAGCCAGCTTTGTCCAAATTGGGACAGCTCTTATTGGCTGACTGTGTTAGAATGTAGGGGTGTTCATTATCTTATATAAGCAGCAAGATGCTGACAAAGGTTCTAGCTCCAGGATGAAGGCAGTCACTGCTCAGATTATTTACCCAGACAGACCAGACCCAAGCCGATCATCACTGACAGCATAGCCCTCATCAGGGATATCGTTTATTACATCATGAAAACCAGGTTTGGATGGGTGATATGTTCTTTTCTTAAGTAAATCAGATGTATTGAGATATCTGCTATACAGTGCTGGGGAATGCCTGGAAAACTGACCCCTTTCATATTAAGTCAGGGAAGGCTGCCCTCTACACCAAAAGTATCTGTGTAAAATCTTTATAGAATGTGACGGCAGATAAGAACCATTTGGTCCATCTAGTCTGCCCAATATTTCAAAATACTTTTAATTAGCCTTATCTTATAGTTAGGATAGCCTTATCCCTATCCCATGCATGCTTAAACTCCTTTACTGTGTTACCCTCTACTACTTCAGCTGGAAGGCTATTCCATGCATCCACTACCCTCTCAGTAAAGTAAAGTAATACTTCCTGATATTATTTTTAAACCTTTGTCCCTCTTATCTCTCCACAATAGCCTCAGTGTCTCTGTCTTCTGATTAATTTATAAACACAGAGGAAAGGCCAGAAAGGACAAGGGAACAGGGAAGGGAGGGTAAATGGCAGACATTGTCAATAATAATTTGAATCACTAATATGGCACATTGCGTAGTATAAGCTCAACTGGCCCATCATGTTCTTTAAAGTGCTCAGTGTTTCTGTAGCTGGGACATGAAACACTCATGCTGTGACTAGTTGAAAAGTTGCAAAGCTCCACACTGTTGGACTGGGGCTGTGACTCTGGGGACTGACCCATTTCTGTTCAATCTATAATGAATGCTGCTTCTATTAACCTTGTCAGCTACTGTGTGGCTCCATGTTACCACTGCAGATTGATCACTTCGCAGCTACTTTGTTGCTCCATATTACCACTACCGATTGAGCACTCTACCAGTTGCAAGGGTAATCAGATGTCTATCAGTATCCTGTTACTTTAACCCTTTGCACACTGTGTGTTGAGAGCTTATAGGGAGCCAGTTGTAGCTGACACATTTCATAGCAGCAGCAACATTCACTAGAAAGCTAAAGCTAAAGCATTCACTAGAAAACTCGCGTTTTCATAGCAGGAACACTAGTGAAGATGAGATCAGAAGAGGTAGAGACTTAGAGAACTAGAGTTGGACAGAGAGAGCTGGATCATTATACTGAGACATTGTACTGTGTGGGTATCTCTGTATTGCAGCTCTATGTATCCCACACAGTGACCATACCTGTTTGGTATAATTATCAGTATTGTATCCCTGTATTTTGCTCAGCTCGGTCTGTTGTATGGTTATCTCTGTATTGCACCCAATGTATATGCAAAAAATACCTATTGTACTGAAAGATTCCAATGATATGATGACCATTGCTCGGTCAATGGCATAAATTAAGTGATACATTTATCTAAAACAGGGGTTCCCAACCCTGTCCTCAAGTACCCCCTACCAGCCCAGGATTTAGGGATTACCCTGTTGTGTCTAAAGTTTTTTTTTTTTCTTTCTTTCTTTCTTTCTTTCTTTCTTTCTAAAAACACCTTTGACACAACTGGGCAATCCCTAAATCCTGGACTGTTAGGGGGTACTGGAGGACTGGGCTGGGAACCACTGATCTAAAACATAATGGAAGAATTTAAACATATAAGCACATTTTTATTTGTCATTTTATAGCAATTATTTGGTGGTACGGAGCCTTAAGTGCCCCTATGGATGAGCCAATATTTAACCCGAGCATGTATTAAAACCAGTTAACGTTATACTGCTATGAGCTTTAACATGCATAAAAGTTGTTTAGACGCAGTGTTTGTTTAAGACAGAGTTTCATACTGAGCGTCAGTGGTTATTTTTAGGATGAACTAACCATTGCTGGCAAAAAGAAAACACAGACCTCAGCTCTGGTCTATTCCTCTGCCACTGAAAGCCATAAATCCTGGAGAGGAAGCCAATACACTTCTCCTGAGATAAACACTGAGAGGTGTGTTAGGCTGCATTATATTTCATCCTTAAATCCTTTAGTTCATTGGGGAAAATGGATCTGCTAGAGAAGAGATATAAATCTGTCACTGGAGAGAACAGATAACGGCTGGGGAAAGAGCAAAGGCTTATACATATTCTCCTGTAGTGTCTGCTATTAGGTGTTATTAATGGCCATACACAATTCCCGGGAATTCATATGACATAAATGAGGGTTAATGCTATGTCTATGCAAATTATTTAGAGCTTCTAAAAGCTTATTATTTAGTGTGTAATCTTACGTTGCTACATGTATTTCATTTATTATCTTCCCTTAAGTATCAAATACGTATATCAGGGTATTTCACTAAATTCTGAATTGTAGCCAATTTAAATCCGAATGGAAAAATGCAGGTAAAAAATAGCTGATTTGGAGAAATTCTCAATTCACCTGTAGTTACAGCTTGGATTTTTTTTTTTGTCTTAAAGTTGCCATTGCTACGTTATGACTCTAATTCATAAAATAACCATGTTAAAGTTCTATGAACGTGATCCAGTGAATTGTCCCTAACATTATTATAATAATATTGCATAAAACATTTACGGACAAATTCTGACAGATGTATATTATAAGAATGCAATTTATAGTCATTGATCAGAACACAGTCCCATCTCCTTGCCAACATGATGGGACTGTTTCACATTGCTTGGATCCCACAATTCCCTAATAATCAAGAGAAAGGGAGCCTTATACTTCTATTTCCTCCAAAACATCAAACGGCAAATCAAACGGTTCAATGTAAATAATATTTGTAAAGACTCCACTAATACCAAATAGGGAGAAATGGACCCCCTCCTACTCCCACACTCCTTGTTCAGCAGGGGCGTGATTCAAATAATGGAGTAGTTTGGATAAAATCCTGTTTCTTCACCCTAAACAAAAGATCCCGCTTCTTGGATCCTGAGAGCCAGAGGGATGTCTGGTGAACAATACAATAAAACACAATCTATACTTCTGTTCTAAGCACTCTTTAACCCTTTAAAGCCAACATTCTTTTTACATTAGGACCACAGCCACAAGTATGGCATTTTTGCTAAGGGGTGATACTAGATTTCCTTGTGAGAAGCATCCAGTGGGGTGCCGAAACGTTGGGTGGGTGTAGTGGCCTGTGCCTTGCCTTGAGGATTACTATATTGCTTTGATTTATTTTGCAGCCTTTTTCACTTCGTTTTTTTATAGTATATTTGTGTTCATCATGTTTGTTATTTATTTTCTGCTATATAATAAAGTATTGACTATTTTTTATGATAGTTGGGGTGTGGAGTCTGGTTTTTGGTATGTGTCAAACCATAATTATTTGTTTTATTATTTAGTGCACGCACATTAAACTTTTTATTTCAAAAGCAACGATAAGGCTTGATTTGGTTATCCTACATTGTTATTTAGCAAGACTAAAGTATTAAAAATGCAAATAAACCATCCATAATAATTTGCACACTAGTGCAGAAAAATAAAACTATTTCAATTTACATAAATGTATTTGATGTGCTTTTGTTCGTATTCACTCATGCTTTACTCATTAAACAAGAGTGACAGAAACCTTTTCTTTAAAAAGGAGTTCAGGACATGGGGGTTAGTGTAGGGTACTCACATTTCCCAATATTCCTGGGTTTGGTGGGAGAATCCTAGCTTCAAGATGCTGTCCTGTACTCTTCTGTCCTTCAATCTTGTGTCCTGCAATCTCGGGACACTAGGGAATTGTTCCTAGCAATAGCTCAGCGAATGCATCATTTCAAGAACTTGCTCTGCACATGGGGGCTCTTAGGGCATTCAGACCATAGTCAAAGAGTTTCAGAAGTGCTTTGTTCATGGGTAGCCCTTAGTGATGACTGCCAGAATGCGCCCTTTTTAAGCAACCAGCTGACTTTCTAGGCTTCCCATGGTTTTCCTGGAGGGAACAATATGGTGGTCCATTTGTGGCCAGCCTGCCCATCCCTGATCTCAGATTTATAGTTGGGAGTTATACAATCACTGTCATTTGAGAGATAGATCTATGGATTATACAATGATGAAGAATGTGTTTTGTTTTTTAAAGAGGAACTGTAACATCTATGATAGTGATAGTATCTCACACAATAGTAGATGCTATTGCAGCAGTTACTGGTATGAGGAATGCAGTAGATGTAAGGCTAAGCATATTTTGTAAGAGAAATAACTTTTTACACACATATAATTTGTATTATTGACTTTAACAGAGGTCAGAAACAGTAGTGTGCTTCTTGTAATAAGTTGCATGAAACAAGCAAAATTAGATGCATTGTACTTAAATGTTTTTTATCTGTCTAGATCTTTGTTTCTAATGGAAATACAATCTTATTAGCTACAAAATTAGTTGAAAATTCTTATCATAGGAGGCATTTCAAAAATTGTGACAAATAAATTGTTCTGTTTTGAGATATTGTGTAGTCACAAAGGGTTAAATAATTTTCTATGAGGTTTCGTTTTTATGTACTTGAGGATGAAATGCTATGAAAAACAAAATATTTGGGGGGTTTTATTCACTGTACAGCAAATGGTGGTGAACTGAAAACAGATTTGTTAAATTTAGGCTAAAATAGACAAGCTGTGACTATAGCGGAGTCTGAAAAATCTAGGCCAAAATAGTGGATTTGGAAAAATTCTCAATTAGTTTTCAATGTCTACAATTCACTATTTAGGGAATAAACCTGATTGTTTTTATTCAGAGGACATCATGTGTCTACTTGATAGAGATAATCATTTCTCATTTGGGACCAGTTAAAAATACGCTACATATGGCATATAAATGGATATTTTATGTAATATTTCACACAGTTGGAATGTATGTGATTATCCAGCAGTCATTCCATTTAGCAGCACATTAGTGGGCAAAACATAATTATTCTGTGTTTTGTAATGAAGGAAGTAATCATAATTTAAGAAATATGATTTCTGTACGTGTGAAGCCCATGGAAACCACTCTTTTTATTGATAAAGACATACAACCCCTGCTTCACCCATTTCACACACTGTTTAACACTTTTCACCCATCATGAGCCGACAATATCTAAAGATGTCAGAACTTCTTATCACTTTGTGTACTAGGTAGTTAAGAAATGGAATATGATCAGGCATAAAAGAAGTTGCTAAGGGGCAAAAAGAAAATGAGCTTCTGTCCCTTTAGCCCCTCCAGCGTATACTAACTTAAGGTACTTCTGAAACCATATACCATGCACAAAGTCCAACCATACAAATCCTAACATGTTCTATAAATCACATTGTGACAAAATTCACAGTATTATACAGTCTTTATTTATAAAGTCTACATGTGCAATATTAACTCTAAGCCATGCTGTATTAACCCAATAACTCACTGGACCCACAGCGATACCCCAACACTATGCTGTCTAATTAACTCTAAATATGGGGCATTAAAGTGACACTGTAACAGATTATATAACTGGAGGTGTTGTTTTTTCGTCACTATTACAGGGAACTCGAGCCTAACAATGAAATGGTGCCGAATTTAGACTCCGGGCTTTTCAAAACTCCACTTGGGGCTAGAGCCCCTGTCAGCACACTACCCCGTCAGCAATGCCCCTGTCAGATGTCATCATGAAGATTCTGTTAACATAAAATTGAAGCACCCCCTTAGCTTCCGTATCATTATAAAGCTTGCATTATCAATTACCGGTAATTTATAAAATAATGTAATACAAATTTCTCTTTATGCTACTTGCAATTGTTTGCTATTTAAGAGAGAGCATGGGGAATGTGCGATTATACAGAATAAAGGTTTATATGTGTAGCTGGAGAGCTACTCTTATAAAAACAATTTTTGTTCCTTTATTTGCATCAGTTTGCCCCCTCCCTTAGCATGTATAGAACTTACATTCCTATACATAATCTATATGAGCTTCCCTTTTACAAATTCAGCAACAGAGCATCACGGACCAGAAACGCATTAAAGATTCATTACATTTAAGACTTCTGTCGTTTGTGCAATATCGGATAACTCTCATGTGACAGAAATCTACTCTACTCTAAATGCAATTTCCTTGATCTGCTCCCCAATTTGTTGGCTGCATTGCTCTATAATATATAATATTATACAAAGCGTTTTCATACAGGGACTAGGAATGTTAATTTCTCTGTACATCAAGTTTATTATCAGCAAATCTATCCAAGTCAAACGTGCAGCAATATCAAGCAATTACCCAGAATACCCAAAACGTCTCCCGTCACTCAAACAAAAGGGATGAGGATCTTGCAATCAGAACAGCATCCGGCAGAGCCTAAGCCCAGCGTGTGTTTTCAATTATATTTAGATTAGCTTCACGCTTCTAATTGTTTTTATTTTCATGTAATGCTATTATGTCAGTGCGTGCAGCCTTCCCCTCACTCAGCATTATCAATTACACACACAAATGAATGGTTGCAGGTGAACATGGATAGGATCACATAAAAACAATGCATCACTCATTTTCAGAGTGATATTGCCAGAATTTGCTCTCATATTTATTTTTTTATTTTTACTTATTTTTGCCATTTATATAGCGGTAACAGATTCCGTAGCGGGGGATTTAACTATAAATAAGAAAACTTACAGGAACGATAGGTTGAAGAAGAACCTGCTCAAACAAGCTTACAGTCTATAGGAGATGGGGTGTAAAACACAACATGACAGGAAATAACAATCAAATAAGGTGGAGGTGAAGCAGAGCTGGAGGAGAGAGTAGAGTGCTGCCCTTTAGGAGAGAGCAAGAGACAGGTATGTGATTTAGAGGTTACTCTGGGAGGCCATAAGCTTTCCTAAATAGATGGGTTTTAGGGCACTTCTTAAACGATTGGAGACTAGGGGAGAGTCTGATGGTGATAGGCAGGCTATTCCATAGGAAGGGAGCAGCCCGCGAGAAGTCCTGCAAGCGTGAGTTGGCTGTACGGGTGCGAGCAGCGGACAGGAGAAGGTCACGGGCAGAGCGGAGAGACCGAGGAGGGGCATATCTATGGATCTGTGAAGAGATATAAGAGGGGCTAGAGTTGTTCAGTGCTTTATAGGTGTGAATTAGTACCTTGAATTGACTCCTATAGCATACAGGAAGCCAATGTAAGGACTGACAGAGAGGTGAGGTGTGAGAGGACCAACTAGAGAGGAATATCAGTCTGGCGGCGGCATTCATTACAGACTGTAGTGGGGCAATACGGCTTTTGGGAAGACCAATTAGGAGAGGGTTACAATAATCCATGCGGGAAATTACTAGAGCATGAACAAGCTCCTTGGTAGCATCTTACGTAAGAAAGGGGCGGATGCGGGCTATCATTTGGCTGGTTCTTGTATATGAATAACTGCCTAAGCCTCTCCTTCCCCAACCTAACTATGGGTCCCCATAAAGGAATGCGTGTAGCATGGAATCATCTAATTATTTAGAAATAGAACTTTAATAAGTTCACTGTACAATCAAATAAAAAACTATTTCAATGTAGCAACCGAGAAGTACCCGTCACAACCAGCCCAATAGTGGTGGGAGTCCTTGAAGTGAAATTAAGGGGTAAATATTGCCTCCAAATTTTAAACACATAAAATAATGTATTAAAAATAATGCAAAGAAAATGTAAATAAAACAAAAAAAACCTTCGGGAAGATGCCTGACCAATCAGCAACCTCTAAATCTGGTCATTGGGGCCTGCTATTAACCCATAAATTCCTATCCAGCAGTGGTTTTATTTAATCACCTAGCTACAGTTCCACTATTCACATTGGAGGAATGTAACTTCTCTATAAATTGGTAGCAGAGGCGGTATGTTTTGTGAGCCGAGTTGTGTGTAGTGAGTAAAAAAAGCTACAGACTGCCCATGTGCACAGTTGTGTCTTAACTTTCTCTCTGGGGAGTAAAGAAAGATCAGTAAAAATTGGAATTCCAGCTGCCTGATAGACAGCTCAAAATTCTAAATTTATAAGCAATACTTAGAACTGAGAGCGGGAGCAAAGTATTCTCTCCATCCTAAATGTTGCATTAAAGCAACCCCTCTCATTATTGACATGCCAGGACAGGAGACCTGCAGAGAAGTGACATTGTGTCTCTTTTCCCCAGGCCCCCCCACCAGTCAGTGGCGTCTCTAGGATTCAATTTTAGGGGGGGCACACGGTGGGCCAGGGTCAAAAGTAGGGGGGCACATTTAACCCCGCCCTCGCCAGTTTGACCCCGCCCCTGCCGCATGTTAAGCCCTGCCCCCGACACATGTGTTTTTTGTTGTTTTTTTAATAATCCTAATCCCTGGTGGAGAATTCATTTTTTCCACCAAGGATTATTAAAAAACAAACACGTTTCCCTTGATACAGTCCATACACACACACACACACACACACACACAGACTGCTGAGTCCATACAGACACACACACAGACTGCTGAGTTCATACACACACACACACAGACTGCTGAGTCCACACACACCCACACAAACACCCCCCCACACACACAGACTGCTGAGTTCATACACACACACACACACACACACAGACTGCTGAGTCCACACACACACACACACACACACAAACTGCTGAGTTCTTACACACTGCTAAGTCCATACACACACACACACACACAGACTGCTGAGTCCATACACACACACAAACACACACAGACTGCTGAGTCCAAACACACACACAGACTGCTGAGTCCATACATACACACAGAGAGACTGCTGAATCTATACACAGACAGACTGCTGAGTGCATACACACACACACACACAAGCTTCCTCACTAACAGACAGACAGACACAGATAACAAGCCTACCTGTCACTGGAGCCTGTTGCTGGGGGTCAGGCAGCCATCTTCCATCCTTTCCAGCACCAGCAGCAAGGTCTGCTGCTTAACTATGGGGGCGGGGCTTATGTACAGGAGGCGGGTTTCATTTGGGGGTGGGCCCTGTGCCGGGGAAGCTGGTGAAAACACCCAGCACCTTCTAGCTCCCCTCTCCTGCATTCCCTCGGGCTGTGACAGACTGTTACAGTACGAGGGAATATAATTTAAGCCCATGGCCGGCATTTGGGGGGGCACAGCATGATGTGGGGGGGGGGGCATGGCGACGCCACTGCTACCAGTATATGTAGAATGGGAGGTAGGATTAACTAATTGTAGCAGCTACAAATATCCTCTGTGCCTTTAAGTGTGTCAACCACTAATCCAAGGCTGGTTCAACATTTATATCCCAGTGCTGCTCTAAGAATGATGAAACATCATTTTAACCTTACTACTAACCCAATGTCCTAACCTTGTTAAAGCCCATTCTATGGAAGATGGCATGTGACAACGCATTTAATGGGTTAATGTCGCAGCAGCTTAATAACAAATAATAGAAAAAAAAGTTGTTTTTCTAAAGAGTTCACATAAATCAAATCACAAAAGTAAAATGTCAAAAACAAATGAAATGAAAAACAACAGATGAAGACAAAGGCTTGTTGAAAATTAGTAATCATGTACATATTCATCGCCTGAAAGATTCACAATTCATCGCATGTTGCAGACTTATAAACAAGCTATTGGTCAAATCATCATTAAATCATTCAGTGCTCCATAAAACAATATACTGTATACCAAACCTTTGCTATAATGATTCACCGGTGTGGAACATGTTTGATTACGTGCAGTCTCCAGAACAACTAGAATTTTAAAATTGGAACTATCATGAAAAAAAGATATATATTTGACATGTTGTAGTATATATAATTTACTATTCTGCGTCACCCACATATCACAGATTTGATGTCAGTCACAGCAGTTCTTCAAAATCAAAATTCCACAATTCTCTCAGAAAGCAAAGCTACATCACGGTCAAATTTGATTTTGTATTTCTGCAAAAACCTTTATCTACTAAACACTATTTCGAACACAGCTTTTTAAACCAAAGCACGAGTTCTAGAATATATAAATAAACGTTGCTCTGTGAAGATATAAGGGCCGTGGCCATTTATTTTAACATATATTATAGTTTTAATTATAATCCCTCCGGTGTAATAGCTTGTAACACATTGTCAGCAGCCTAAGATGCACTGCTTATAGCAGGGACACTGACTTGTCCTAACTGATATTTTGGTTATCAGCAAATGCCTCAAGAGACAGTAGGAGGAAAATACAAACCCTAAAATTATTTTAACGAAATGGCTATGGAAAATACAAGTGTGCACAGCATCATATAATAATATATGTATTAAAAGTTGATTTGTGTACGATATTCTGCTTAAAGAGAGGATAATGTCAATTAAAGTGGTACACACACATGAAATCTACAATGAGACTGATACAGATTTTTTTTTTGCTGTCTACATCTAGGATTTTGGTGTATTTCACACCAGAGGACTATATTCTTTCCAATATCTCCTAGACCCCATCATTCAGCTCAACTAACTATGCTGGGCTCGAGAACAGGGGAGACAAATAAATAGGAATGACTGAGGGTACGTAAAATAAATTTTAAAAACTCACAAAACAGACACTTCAAAGGAAACAAGACACACAGTACTCCTCTTGATTTTCCTGGAGTAAGGGGATCTTAGAATCCAATGAATGAAAACACATGCTCTGTATACACAGTACTGAATGGGTTACTACAAGCATGAAAACAAAGCCTACTCAGAACTCACCCAGGCTCTGTCAGAAATTGATTGAAGTGTGTCTTTATGGAACTGTGCTTCTGCTTTTAGTAATACATTAAAAACCATCAGTCAGTAGGATAAAAACAGCACTTGTTTATTGCAGTGTGAAGTGGTGTTCAACAGCCACAGCTGGTGTCCTTCGAATGGGGACCCACCATAGCTACGAAACGTGTGGCATCATTGGAAATATACGTACTGAGTGATGAACTGGCCTGATTGTTGGTTAAATCATCCATTATTCCACAGCCCAAGGGACTGTGATTTCATCTTGAATCAGATGTAATCTTCACTTTATGACTATACACTGTGATGGCACTATTAATTTCATAACATCCTCTTGCTATGGAGATGACACAAAAGAAGAGACTAGGGTCTCTGTGCATCCTCTGTCTATAGATCTTTGTGCCTGTCAGTCTGGCTACCTGTGATCCCTGTCTTTCTAGATGTTTGTACATGTGTGTGACTGTTAGTCTGTCTGCAATTAACCATATCTGTCTACATATGTGTACATCTGTGTACTTGTCATTGTGTCATCTGTTTGCCAATTTGTCTGTTTAATTGTCGCTGTCAATCTGTCTGTTCATGTATCTATCTACTTGTCCGAAATTCTGTACGCCTGTCAGTCTCTCTGTTCCCCTGGGTACCTATTAGCCCGTTTGTGTATTTGTTCAACGGGGTGCGGGTCACTATCTATAACTCTGCCTATAACTCTATCTAACTCAGCCTGCCTATGTGTCCATCCATCCTTTGTATATCAGCCGGATGTTTACCTGTATAATGTCCATCAGGACATCAATTGAAGTATTTATTTCTAAAGTATCTGCTTTTCCGATTTTTCTGATTTACAAATTTGCTGTTCCTTTTGTACTGCCATTCCATTTCGGATCTTGGAAGCAATAAAAGTATTGTCAGCACAAATAAGTCTTCCCGCACCCATGGAGAATTTTTAGTGCTTACAGATAGTGGTTTTAAAATAATTCCAGGGGAGAAAAGTACACATGCATCCAATAGCAGAATAGTCTTAGCTGTCAGCCTGTCACTTATCTATTGTTCCATACTCTCTATTCTCAATGGGAAATCACTGCACCAAGCATGACAGATTGCATACAATTCAGGGTCACAAACCTTACACAAACTTTAGGACTACATTAGCGTGTGTCAGAGAGGCCTTTTTAACCCCTATCCTATTAAGACTCCCTGTAGCGGTTTACTGCTGCCCTGGTCCACTCCTATAGAGTTATATTTACTGCATTCCATCTGTCAAGGGATCCAAAGACTGTCACATACAGAGATTACTGTTTATAGACAGAATGTCAATATGGCGATATACATATTGCCTAACAGCAGAGCTAATATGTTCTATGGCTTTTTAAATAGAGACATCTTATATAATCCACTAATTCCCAGCAGGTGGAAAGGCCACCAATAACTGTCCATCTTATTGTGCAAGACCTTATAAACCTGTGCTTATATTTAAAAGGTTACGGACTCTTAACTATATTTAATGCATGTAAATGGTTTAGAAGACTTATCAGCAGAGCATATTGCCACGAAGAACATACACAGTAGATACATGTTTAAAGGGACACTATAGTCATCTCAATGAAGTAGTCATTGCTTTCCAAGCTTTCCCATAGGGAAGCTTGAACGTGCGCGGTACTTGCCATGCATGCACATATGGTCCAGATTGGACCTTCGCAGGGGAAGCTATGATCATTGGAGGTAGAGAGGTGTACAGCACAGAGAAAGCTGGAAGAAGGGAAGTAAAAAGGATTAATTTATTATTTTTATGACATTGGGGGGGACAGAGGCACAATATGTGGCACACGTATACAGGTTTGCATTCTAGAGTTGGCTGTAACGTACCATACTTTACAACATTTCAAATGGACAAAGAGGGACATTTGAATTTTAGGAGTGTAAATGGGGATGTGGCTTTTCTGAGAGATAGGTAACTTACTGATAACTTCTGCAACTAAAATATAATCTTGAACAAGATTTAGACAGACTGACTTCACTTAATGCAGACTAAACACATTGTAGTTTAACATACATTAGTATTTTCACTATGGTGCTCTGTTATACACTCAGAGACACCACACTTGAAAACAGCGATCACTGATCACAGACTCATTGTATACCTTTAAACACTACCACACTTTGTGTTGGTTACAGGAAAAACGATTTGGAATTCTGCCTTGTATACATTGTGGAATAAAATGTTCCATCATATAGACAGCACTACAATCTGTTACTGTATCTGCTCCAGGTATTACCATTAGAGGATTTAAAGGTACTATTTGGATAACGGTTTATTCATCTACTTCACTCTGCTACTCACTAAGGACATGCGAGTGTTTGTTATCCATTTGATACCCATGTGCTGATGGTATTTATTATTAGCAACTATGTATTATGAGATATCAAGCAACGGGTTTCACATTTCTATTTCAGTTAATTGTAATTGAATATTCAGAAAAGCCTCATCTTACCTGTTACAGAGGGGATTGGGAAATGTGGCTGGGGAGACATCTCAGCTAGTAAAATATTGCCCGAAAATCTGGTCAATACAAGCAATGTACTAAAAGATCAGGTTAACATATACAGAGGATAACACTTCTTTCTGGTCCTCCATCTCGTTCAATAAATAATTTTTTTATATGGTCCCCCAACAGACGATGTATCACATCTCAAACTGCTAAAGATATATTCTCTACCATGATAAACTGAATATGATTTAAAAGCCTTAAGGGAAAATGGCAGTACTTTATCGTTATAGCTCAACACTACAGGGGATTTCACTTCCATATGTTGTTCTTAGATTATTATTATTTTATTGCATTCATTTATAAAACAATATTGTGCAAGATTTCTTGGTATAAACGTACTGTACACAAATCAAGATCTGGGGCCAGGCCGCCAACCTGAGCGGCAGCCATCTCCTGTGGCTCCGGAATCGAGCTTCTTAAAAGGGCAAATTTTACGATCATTAACCAAGTCTGCACCTCTGAAACTCACTGATTCGGGTGGGGGAACACATAAGCTTCCTTACGATACCTGCACTGCTGCTGGCTGCACCGGATGGATGGAGCCACACCACTATTGGGCCTACCCGGGCACATGGCCCTGAAGCCTGCGACACGCGTTCCCGAAAGGGCTGATCGCATCCACACTGCCATGAAAAGCAGCAATATGTGCAGGGCGGAGCGAGTGGTGACCCTTTTTCTGTAACCCCTCTATGCCGAGGAGTTGACACCAATAATTCTTTTTTTTTTTTTTTACTCTTCTTTATTTTTTTTATTTTTTAAATAGGGTTGTTTTTAAGCCATTATGCTAACTATAGCAATGACGCACTCTCTATGAATGTGAACGCTCCTATTTGACGCATACTTTGGCCCTTTGTTACCTGGAAGCACAAAGCCCCGCTTATCAATGAAGCTTCAGCACAATGTCCTGCTCTGAAGTGTTTCATGTTTTAGTGCCACATTAGTTTAACCCCTTAAGGACCAAACTTCTGGAATAAAAGGGAATCATGACATGTCACACATGTCATGTGTCCTTAAGGGGTTAATGCTATCGCATGACTGCGTTCCATCCCATAATGTGCTGAGTTTCGCATTTACCCAGGTTTAATTTAGATATGTTCTATATTTGCTTACAATAAGGCTTCGTTTTCACAGTAATTTCAGGTTATATAAATGCCTGTTGATTTCAGTTACGTGATACTTCTGAAAGCGGCCATGCTCCTTAACGATCACCCAATGATGCTTACTTATACTTCACCTAAGGAATGTGCCTTTACTGGACAACGTATTGTTCTTGCATGCTTCATGCTACTGATATGTGATATTGCTCTCCGCTGCCTCATTAGGCCTCTGCATAGGCTCATGTAAAACCGTTTTACTATATCGCTGTCTTGACTGCCTTGACTATGACTAAAATAAAATAAAATAAAACATTGCCACATCAGCAGGGCATGTGCATTCATTGCTGTCTGGATAGGAGCATCTGTTTGTGCATGGCACTACAATATGCTGTGAACCACAGCCTCTTGTCTTTCATTATCCCACTGAAAGAGTCAGATGGCTTATTGGTGCCTGTGACACTATGAGGTGATGCTCTCACACTCCCATCTGTGTAAGAGAAGGAGCCTGCTTCTGTTTAATGAAGGAAGGTGACTGCATGCTCAATAGTCAATTCGGCAGCCGCTTAACCATTCCAGTGCCTGCTAGTGATAAGTGTCTGCTAGTAATTAATGGTTTAACAATGTTACAAGCACTGAGGATAGTGACCATAATGCACAGTAGATACCATCCAATTAGGCACCATTTTATCAAAATAACAAAGAAAGCCATGTTAAAGACTAAAATAGAAACAATGAAATTGTACAGCGGCAAAACGCATAATACAGGGCTCAGAGCTCCTCTCTTTGAATTATGTGAAAAATTTAACTCAGACGTTTGGACACTGGAGGACATTATCAATCATTATCAACAAGCACGGTTATTTAATATAAAACAAAAAAAAGGACAACATTGGTGGCCATTTTATTTTTTAATTTCTATAATAAATTCCAGAGCAAGTGTTTCTGGGAAAGGACCATATGATCAGTCTTTTTAAAATTTCCACTCGCCACTAGCCTTTGGCAACTGAAAATGTAACCCGGCGAGGAGAAATTCATGCCTGTTGATTATGTCGTAGACCCTCCAGGCTTGCAGTTAGAAGTCAGTGGGGAGTGCTGGGCTGCATATATTTGCACAAACTAGACCATTTTGAATCTCTACACAAAGCCTAGCGCATATTTTCTACTTCAAGTTTTTCTTGGTATCAATGCTGTCTGCATGCTTCGAGGTTTTTTTTCTTTGTAACCCATAAGTATGAAGTCTGCAGTAGGAATGTCGTGAAAATATAAAAACGCTTACGTAGTCCCTGGTCCCTTAAAAGAACTCTATAGCATCAGAAATACAAACATGGAGAAAGTACTGGGAGGCTATTGCGCATGTGTGGTAAAAAGCCACACTGTTCCAGTCAGCATCCTCTCAGAATGTGGAGACACTGAATGGCATTGCTGACCACGGTGCAGCACTGAGATAGGTAGCACCTCTAGTGGCCATCTGAGTGACAGCCACTAGTGGTGTTAATAGGCAGCAATGTAAACACTAATTTTTTTCTAAAAGCCTGCAAGGACAGGCTGAAGACACCAAAACAACTACATTAAGCTGTAGTGGTTCTGGTGGCTATAGTGTCCCTTTAAGGGATTAAATGTCATTCTTATCACTTGATAGAGCGTCACAGCCTTAATGTCATGCCAGCTTCTTACTCTGATAGAGTAAATATGATCTCTGCAGTCAGGAAGCATGTTCTCAGGAGTCAGGAAAACTGAGCATGATTGTCCTTGAAAGCTTTCATCATGTGGCAGACTTAGTACCAGAAGGTTATTCAAAGATGAAAATCAATACGGGACTCTGCACATGAAATTGCTAAAATGTGTGCAACTGTAGGAGACAACAGCAGTATATTACTTTAGAGCGTGATGCCAAACAGTGACCTTACATGTCTCTGCTAGTATTCGCAGATAGCCTGATCTACTTATATTAACACTAACCTTACCACGATCCCTGCATTTACTATGCATGCTTAAAGGACTGGGGATATACGTTATCTAATAAATAGCTCACAGTTCTATCAAATCTATATCTATATCTTTTGGCTTTTTGTTTTAATCACTGTGTTATTTAACTAACACAGTGATTATTTTACTAACGTTGGTGTTGTGGTGTAACTTTTATTCAGTGACAATAGCACTGTGATTTGGGTCAGATGGATTCTGAGTAGAAAAAAATATATAAATGGCAGACATGCATACTACTGAATGCAGACATAGTAAGAGATTAACAGCGTGTAAAATGCGTGCAAACTGGCTCAATTCAATACTGAATGCAGTTTGCAAGACTGTGGCGATTTAAGGGGATATATATAGTAAAGGAAGAGAGTATATTCAAAAGTAGAAAAATTATCACAACCAGAGGACATAGTCTTAAATTAGAGGGGCAAAGATTTAAAAATAATATCAGGATGTAATACTTTACAGAGAGGGTAGTGGATGCATGAAATAGCCTTCCAGCTGAAGTGGTAGAGGTTAACACAGTAAAGGAGTTTAAGCATGCGTGGGATGGGCATAAGGCTATCCTAGACTAATGTTAAGGCCAGGGACTAATGAATGTATTTAGAAAATGGTCCAAATGGTTGGGCTGAATGGTTTCAATCTGTCATTACATTCTATGTTTCAATGTTTATTTATATTTTTATACACAGTATTCTCTAAGAGTGTCACTTATGAATGGGATAGTAAATCCGTATACCAAATTACCATTATGCTATATGCATTGTTCATGACTTTTAGAAAAAAAAAAGCAAAACTGTATTAGCTGCCTGGGCAAACCGAAAGCATGGACCTCCAATGTAAAGATCAAATAATGGTAAATATGCTCGCTGCATGCATCTACAACTACCTTATATACGATAAAAAATTTTTTGCTGGTATTGGAGAGTAAAAATATATTTACAAGGCCAAAACATTTGGATTAAGCACTACACCCTATTAATTGATTTATTGGGGATTGTTAATGACACAGAACTGTCAGGAACACAAGTTAGATTTATGCGTATCCACAAACACACACACACAATTATTTTATTAAATAAACACAGGCATCAATGCTTCTTTAATAATGGTAACATGTCTTATGTTAAATGATCTGCTCCACATAAAAGCAGATTGACCTAATGACTGTGATATGATGTTCAATCGGTTAAATGGTCTGTGCTAGTGAGCCTAATGACAGAAATCTGTTAAATGGATGTTATCAATGCTTTTAAATGTGGCGTAGTTTTACATGATCTAGTATTACACTAAAAGGGTTTTTATTTTTTATTAATATTAGTAAAATAAAATTGACTCAAAATCCTTGTTTTATATCTTTAAAAAAAAAAAAAGCATTTCCTAGAAGAAAACACATTCATCTGCATTTTTAAACTAATATTGCTAATTAAAGTATAATTATTTTCTCTAACGTTAACGCACAAAAAAATGAAGAAAATAGCTACAAAATGAAGTTGGAAGAAGAGACTTATTACCAAATGCAAAAATAGTAGTAAAACACTATAGAGGTTATTCATTAAATCCAGCAATTAGGAGAATTGAAAAAGGAATGTTTCTCCATAGTGGGCAAATTAAAAAAAAATCTCCTATTACGCTATTTTTCAGATTCGGCTAACTTAGCTACTAAGATCCGTATATATCCGGTATTGCAAAGTATTCCTGCATTGGCGTAATCTGTAATCCCTTTAAATTCGGCCAGCATGTGATATGCAAAATCAATATAGTTACATGGCTTGCGTATTGTTCTGTGAGCCAGGTAGAGAATTCTCACACTGCCTTACTCTGTTGTGAATCATGGCAGAGATACTGTATCCTGACTGTGCCTGATTTCACGTGTCTCCTGGATAATCCCTGTGGATTTCTTCTCAAGTGGGGTCAGTGACGTTATATTTGGTTGAGCTGAGAATGGAGCCCTCACAGGTGTCTTCTTCCCATGAGTAGACCTGTTAGTACTCCAATATGATAGTGTTTCCCAGTAGAAAGCACACATAGTCCGCACAGACAATCTAAGCCAAGGGAACCAACCACATGAAAACAGCCAGACGCAGTCGTAATTTATAGACATTTTTGTCAATTCTGTGCATTTTACAGATAGAAAATAGAACGTGAATAATCTCCTTTGAAACATCTATAGTCTTTGACTTTTGTACTTGATTCCACAGCTTGTAGCTAACGTTTACCAAATAAAGAAGTCGTTGTTTTTGCTTTAATGATGATGGCTCCTTTTTTCACCTTGTTCATTAAATATATAGACGGACTGATAAATGACGAGGAACAATTTAAAAATGTTTTTTTAAGGGTCACTTTAAACCCCATATGAAGTCTGTATCAACACAGTCATGATGTATAACATGCACACTCTCCAATCTTTGAGTGGCTTAAAACTGCAGTAAATGTGCAATAATCACCACTGCTCTGCATTTTAATAGCTCATTTGCACGGTCAGATTTATCCAATATGTATGCACATGTCATGAGTGCAAAAGGGGACCAGCCGTGGAGAGGG